TGTTCGGCTTTTATCTGTCTCGAAAGCGCTTGTGTATGGGGTTGCACTTTTCTTTATCGCGCACTGAAACCTTTATTTAGCTCGACTCGGATCGATAGTAAAACAATTCGTTGTAAAATTGTTATAAAGCGACCAATTACCTCCACAAAGAGACAACTTTGAGATCGGAAGATTTGTATTTACTTTCGCAAGATATTTAGCCTTTATGTTTTTTAGTTTATTACTAAAAATCTATCGCTAATGTTGTGATATTCAGCAACTGTTTTGACTCAGTTATCTCGCTGACTGGATACTGAAGCTTAATTATGAAACAGAAACGACTCAAACTAGCCGCAGTGTTGTCTATGATATCGAGCGGTTTTCCATGTAGATAATTTAGATCTTTGATAGATTAATGTCATTCTTTCTGCTGTCAAGATGAAACCGCGGAATTTGTTGTGTTTTGCAGGAAGTCGTGACCGGAATACTACCGATAAGCTACGAAGATGAAATCGTGCAAAAGCGGACGCAAATTCTGAGAGATCCACTACAGATCTTGTTGGTGTTTCCCGAGGACGATGTTGTGGTAAGAAGTGGTATTTTGACTTGTGAATGTTGTTGCATTTAACCACAAGATAGGTGCTGCATAAGCCGCACGAAAATCCACGAGGGTCTCGTGCATGCATGATCAAGCAATTTGTAATCGTAAAATGTTCGTCAATGTCGTCTGTCAGCAAGACCATGTCGTGAAATCTAGGTGTAAATTGATGATTTTAAAACACAAAAACAAAAGATGTGGTGTCTTCGGCGTATTCTGCCTTTGTGTAGGATATCTATCTCCGTAATTCTTGAAAGCACTTTGGAACTAAGAACTTCCTAAGTCAAATATAATGTTTCCAAAACAGCAACATCAATTACGGAAATGAATGTACATCTGCCTGTTATGTCGCAAAGCTTTTAAGAGTTCTGAGCCCGTTGCGAATGTACGCTGCACTGAACATACTGTGTGATGTCCATTGTTTTTAAATTTGTAAAGCCTCACCGAAAACTGGATTTCAAATTATCCTTCGAAAGTTAAAAAACATTACTGCATATTTTCATCTATTTTGAGATGTTTCCCATCGCAAACATCGAGTTTGTTGATGTTCAATTAACAATTAATTATGTGTAAGCCCAGGGTTTTTGTGAGCTGAGTAGTATTTTGTTTCCAAATCAGGCAAATGTTGGATATTAAAATTTTATGATTCGACTCAATGTGAGTGACGCTCGCGACGTCTAAACTATGTCTCCGGCGCATCAATAACTCGAAAAGTCCTCTCAAATGTCGTCGGAATTTCCAGACCCGGATGAATTTTTTCAGATCACAGTAAGTCATCTTTTCAAGAACAAATTGCTTTGTGCTGGTTTTCTTTTTCGTTTGATTTGTCTTTTATATCAATAACAAAATCTATTCATGCGCGTCGAGTTCATTTGTCAAGTTACATCCAGTAAATCTTTTCAACTTCAGACGTCAGCGAGTCAATATTTCCCAAATGAACTTCGTTTTGATTTATGATTTACAGTTCGCTTATTTTAATTTATATTTTTTGGTTTGTATAATTGGGAGTTCTTGACCTTTCCTTAAGCCAAAAATCACGCTTTTTCGGAAACCAATTTTATTTCTTTGTGAAAAATTGTGTGACATGTTATATGAATATTTGTGTTGGTATCGTGGGTTGAATAATATTCCAAAAAATATGACCCTTACCAATACTTGTAAAGTATCTCGGCGATAAAGTTTTTGTGTTAGAATTAATAGGAATTGAATTGAAATAGAGGAGACAGAAAACCTTCGTAAACAAACGTGTCTTATCGTAATGTTTTTGAAGAGACATGTAAATTAAAGCCAATGATTTTTTGCAAGTCTTGAATTGAGCAGGTGTTGGAACACTGCTTTCGATTTCTCTTCTTGTAATGAGAAGTCAACAAATCGTTATTAAAATCTCCAAACAGTTTCTGGTATTTTCCAACCAAAAAGATTCAAAAGTCGTGCATCTTTTCAAAAATCTACCTGTTCAGTGAAGACTTTTATTGTTTGAACTTGAGTAAAACAAATACATGTATGAAGATTCGTTCCGGCATTGTCGCTATGAATTTGATCACAGGGCATGCCCTAGGCATTCTTACAAGTTTGTACATTTTGAAATTTCCATTAAGTTTTCAAGGTTTGTCATGGAGCTGGCTAGGGAAAAGCTATCTTATTGGGCCTCTTTTGAAGTTATTGTCCATGGAGAATACATAGCAATTTTTTATTTATTTCTGTAACTCTTAGGTGGGTCTAAGCTGATATATCTTAATTTACTGATTCTTCATGAAGCATACTGGTTGAATATTTTTCATTCTGGCGTATTTCACTAAGTGCGTTCTGTTTGGAAAAAAGTTTGTTCAAAGTGTAGATAAAATTAACCTAAGCTATAAAATTTCTGATTAACCTTTCAATTTTTCAGTCACAAAATATGTGCATGGTGATGACAGTGTGAATAATGTTATTGAAACTAGTGTCGGTGAGAAATATCACTCAGCTGTATCATGTGCAGAATTTAAAGTCTAGTGGTTAGAGATTTATGAAATTCATACAAAGATCTTTGTATAGGTGTCTTCTTTATGTTCAGCTCTGAGAAAAAAATATCATTAAAATTTAAAAGCCAAAAATTTACTTTAAATCATTCAAATTTATAGGTTTTGTTTTCAATAAAGAGCAAATTGGGAAAATTTACATTTTATGATTAAGATACTGATTACCTATATTAGGTTAATCATTTTTGTCGCATTTGTCTGAAAATTTTACATTTATCACTTCCACTGTGTGTTTTTGTCAGAATTTACCCTTTGTTAATCTAAGGATAGACTTTATAAAATTCCTTTAGTTGTTTTACAACATTTATCTTATAAACATGAGCATGACCTCTTCATGAAAATTATTACAGACCAGTAATTACAAGGTTATTGTCAGTACATGTACACTGTAGTTTTCAGCTTGTGACCTTGCTTGTTTTGTATCAGATAATCACAGTGGTCAACTCAGTCTAAAGCTCATTTATTTCTTAGATCAGGCATCTGATATAGAGCAAACTTGAGATACTCTCACTTGTGAGAAAAAAGTTATTCTATTTGGGGATGAGAAATGTCTCTAGTCTCTGGCAATAATGGTCCAAAGTCGAACTCTCTGTTTTAAAAAAATAAGAATCTGATTCACAATAAATGGTTGGAAAGTGCTAAATATTTGCCATCATGTCTCCAAACTTAACAAGTCTTGAATAAATTTAAGTGTATATTTGTACATTTTTTGGTCCAAAGTTGAACTCTCTGTTTTAAAAAAATAAGAATCTGATTCACAATAAATGATTGGAGAGTGCTAAATATTTGCCTTCATGTCTCCAAAGTTAACTAGTCTTGAATAAATTTAAGTGTACATTTTGTCCAGATTATGCTATCCTATCCTGGGTCACAAGATTTCATGCCTTCTAGAACTTGATAAAAATTAATTTTTGCAAGATCATTTTAATTCATAAGAGCAGAGGTAATGAGAGGAAAGTAGCAGACAAGGACTTCCATTAGCTAAGACAAACTTTGGTGAAACTGATTTAGTGATATTTTAATTTTAGTGAATCTTTTGAATGAGTAACATATTCCTACATAACTGTTCCTTAGGCCTTTACAATTCCTCGGCAACTGCAGACTATACACTCTACAGTGCCAGGTGATGCTCTCACCCAAGCATCCAACTTATTTACAAGAGAGGTAAATTGTTGATAATCTATTGAATTTGAGATTAAATTCAAAATTAATTAATTTAGGAGTGTAGCACTGTAAATATTTTTTGGTCAAATTACTTTGCAGTCGGATGACACTGAAGATGTGTCAAAATGTCAAAAACAGTGCTTATACTGGGTTGTATTTACCTGTTAACCCCTGTGAGTGACTAGCGGTAATTGTTCTTCATGGTATCACTGCTGAATCAAACATTAAGGCCATGAGGATAAGAGAAATGGTTGCCAGTTAAAGAAGATTTTGACTGATAAACAAATTCTCCTTATCAGTACCTTGAGAAAAGAACAACAAAGAACAGTATGGAGAATATGTGTACTGATGTTAGGGAATAAAGGCTGAAGCCATCAAATGCTTCAGTACAACATCTACCATTAATATTCATTGAATTTAAAAACTTAAACATAGGTAAATATTCTGGGCCCTGTTGTTCAAAGGCTGATTAGTGCTAACTCAGGGTTAAATTTTAATCCAGGTTTCTTTATTTCTTTATTCAAAAGCCTTTCAGGAACAATTTTCTCTCTTCTCTTTTGAACAAATTGCAAGAAAAAGATTTGAACTACATTTCCTTCTAAAGCTTTCAAACCTGAAATGAAATTTCACACTAACCCTGGGTTATCATAACTCAGCTTTGAACAACATGGGCCTGGTCAGTTTTCTTTTAATAATTTCCTCTCAGAGAAACTCTCCTTTAAGAGCCTCAAATTTCATTTGAGTTCCTCGCTGTTTTGAGCTTTAGGTTTCTCTCCCCCTCCAATAAGCCCATCTCTTCAGTAAACCTCCCCTGTCCAGAAGCTCCCTCACTAATAAGCACATCCCCCCCCCCCTTCTTCACTGTCTAGACCTTCAGGTTTCTAATGGTGTCTCGTGCTCCCCTATTCCCAGAGATGTGACCTTCCTCTCCAACCCCTGAAATAAATTCTGTTTCATTTTCTTTAGTGGAGGTAGCGTCAGCTACACAACAATTAGGTTGAGGTTTAATTAAAAGTGTGAAATCAAATGTGAAAGAGAGAAATGCTCAATGGGAAATTGTTATTAATAGATAAATAACATTTTTGGGGCTGGTGGCCTGTGATGCAGCCAGTTTGTCACACAAAACTATGGTCAAAATCTTGAGGTCTGTCTGACACAGGCTAGAGGCTGGTTGCTTTTCTTAGAACTTGATATTTTAAAACAAACAGAAGCTCATAAATGTTGTTTTTATGACTTTGTAGTGTATCAGATTCTACACAGCAAACTGGAGCTGTATTGAGAACAAGTATTCAAGCTATGGAGGAAGTTATCTTAAACTTCCCAGGTAAAATGGATCAGCTCAGAAACAGTGGTGGAGGGGGGGCAATGACCCCCTGATGATTAAACCTCACCCTCTAAATTAAAGCAATGTGGGTGTGGCTCAAGCATTGCTGACCCCATAGACATAGAGGTAACACGTTGCGAAAGCAGGCAAGGAAGGAATGAAAATTATTAAATGATGAAATGTGATGCCCGAAATGTTTTTCTTACTACCAGTCCCCTTCAAAATCAAGTTGCTTCATTGGTTTTTAATGTTTATCTGCTTTTTTTACCTCCCCTGAAAGATTCAGAGGCAGGAGGGAATGCTTCAGAAAATAAGACTATTATCTTAAATTTTAAAAGAAATTTTTAAGACTGAAGCCCATGTCAGCCTTCATTTATGACTTGGGCTGTTTTATTGTTTTTTTTTCTCTCTCTTAGTACAAACTATTTTTATCATTTGACGTTTTTGTTTTTTCTTATCAATCAGGCCACATCCGGGAAAGGGACTTGAAAGACAAGTTTTTGCAATGGATATGGAGGATCAGGTGGATTGTGTGAATCAGGTGGAGAAATTTAGCTGTTAATGTTTGATTGTTTAGCTACATATAATTATTTATTAAGGAAATTGTTTTAACCCTTAACTCCCATGAGTGACCAAGACAGAGTTTCTCTTTACCATATCAACACAACGTCAAGCAGACAAGTGATGAGAATAAGGTGAAATAGAAGAACAAGATGAATAATAGATGAGAATAAGGTGAATTAGAAGATCATTAACTGATCCAGTACTAAATTCTCTGAACTATCACAAAAGAACTGTATAACAGACAGTAAGGAGAATTGGTAATGACATCTTTGGAATGAAAGGGTTCGAAATCGATAAGATCCTGTTGACTGACAATAACTGAGTGGTTTTAGAAAGGTATACCAGAAGCCATTCAAACAATTTGGAACCCAAAATACCCTCCCAGAGCTTTGGGGCAGAGAGAGATCTGATATTTCTCTAATGATGACGGGTTTTGATTCGCAGGCTGTACCAATGAGCCCAATGCGAGAGAAAGGAATCTCCAGACAGGGTTACCTTACAAAGGCTCCATTCCATGGTGAAAGTAACGGTACACCCGGAGCTAAGGTACATCTGTTTTTGGGGTTACTCTGGTTCGTCTAATGTGCAATATTTTTAAGGAGGGGGGAGGGGGGTGAGGGGGCTCTTCCCAGTAATGGGCTGAAGGGCATGTGCCGCGGGATGGAGAGTTGCATTTTCACAACTGGATTAACTATCATAGCGTTGCATTCGAATGGGTCGCACATTTTCGGGATTCTGGGGGTAAGAAAGTACTAGTAAATAGGGATTTAAACATGGCAGGATTTCTGATAAAGGATTTCTGATTACCGTATTACAAAAGTGACTAAGACGAGGTTTCTAATGGGCCACAGAATAGACTAAAATGGGTCTTCCTCCTCCCCCTTTCTCCCCCCCGCCCCCGACTATTTTCGCTGAACGTTACTACTGTATTACTTGGGGTTGGTTTTCGAAACTCAATTGAAAACTGCCTCCATCGATTAAATTAATTTTCTTGTTGATCTCTGTGCAAACCTTAATCCGCAGAACTTCAAGCGGAGGTGGTTTCACCTGAAGCAAATATCAAATGATGGCTCGTACATTTTGGAATACAAGAAGGTGATAAAGGTTTTTTTTTGCATGAAATGCAGTAATTGTTAGAAATAAACAGGTGACATAGCTTTAAGATTAACGATGATAAAGGTAAGTTAAGGAAATCATATTAACTTGAGCGGTGCATTTCTTGATTTATGGGTAAAAGAGCTGTTTTGGAACCCGCGTTTTTTAAATTGCTCGAGCCGTTTTAATCAGAACGAGATATTTTGTTGGACATTTATTAACGGTATTTACTGATGACGAGAACGAGTACGACAATGTCATACATAACGATAACCAAAAACCATGATCAGGGCTTTCAATAACTTTTACCATAAGCGGCTGCCGATGGTTTAACAGGCGGCTGTGCTTGGGAAAAGGGGCCGAAAGGCTAAAACCAAACACGAGAGGATAAACAGACGGCGGTAAGAGGCTTACAGGCGGCGGTAGACTGCTAGTAACTTTCTTTCACTGAAACGCCGGCATGACCGTAGCGAGGAATAGATGATTGTTAAAACGATTATTTTTAATGGAAAAAGAATAATAACCACGACAGTTATCAGGGTTCGCACAGGTCCTGAAAACCTCAAAAGTCGTGGAATTTTATTTTGACATTTTCCAAGACTTTCCAGTCCTGGAAAAAGACAACAGGTCCTAGAAAGTCGTGGAAATCTGCTTAACTCAAGCATTAAATTTTTCAGAATTTAGGTTGTTAGAAATTTATATAGACCGTAAAGCGCATCGATTTTGAAATCTTGGGAATGATAGGGTTTAAGGTGGAATTTGAAGTCCTGGAAAAGTCCTTCAAAATTTGTTTAATCCTGGGTTATGACTTATGCTTTTGGTGTCTTACTCAGGATGATCTCAAACCAGTATGGCAAGAGGGGTGCTCTATTTGGATGCGTGTACTCACATCACTAAGGTAACTTTTATTTTTTTGTAGTATCATCATACGACAATGACGATAACGCTAAGGCACTCCGCATGTAGTTACCTTTGGGCCAAGATTCGCGAAATAACAAAGAGTAACTCCCCAGACCTTGAGAAATTAAGAAGAAATATCAGACTTGAGATTGAAATAATATACTTTGAATCTTAAATCCCGAAGATCGACTAGTTACTAATTTTTCCTGACGGTATCAGCGCAGAATAAAACATTAAGGACACGAGAATGGAGGAAATGATCGCCAACTAAAAAACTCTCGATTGATAACCAGATTCTCTTATCAGGACAAAAGGAAATGTATAGAAGATAGCAGGAGGAATATGCTCACTGATGTTAGGGGTATAAAGGCTTAAACGAGACCTCGAGGCTCATCGAAGGGCCTGGTCACGAGCTTTAGAGATCGGTCAAAAAGTTTCTGAGACTCGCCAGTTTTTAACACTTTATTCTATAGCATCAGTATGTATATTCTCCATACTGTTCTCTGTACGTTTCTTATGATATCGACAAGAAGAATTTGTTTGAAAGTCAGTATCTTCCTAGCTGGTAGTTGTTTCGTTTAGTCTTGTAACCTTAATGTAAGATTCAGTAGTGATACCTTAATGAGAAGTTGGATTTAAGTCACTCCTAGAGGTTAAAGAGTTTATAAGTACCATGTGCCATTGCTATAGTTTGGATTTCAAAAGCCTGTGAATGCTGGATTGGTGATTATGTTTGTAATACTCAGGGCGATAGTTGCTAACTGATTAATAATGACAATAGGACCGAGTAGAGTCCAATTCAGTCTGTTATCATACGAGTGATTACAAAATCGGCTGACCGCAAAGCGGGAGTTAAATTTGTTAATCAGGAGTGTGATTACAGAACAAATTGGACGCCAGAAAGTCCTGTTACCAATTAATCGTAACAATTAAAATTTCCGAAAATAACAAATACATTTGTTGGAGATAATATCTCCGTTAGAGCCTTGTCTCAACTAAGAGTTCCTCCATTTTGGACATTCCCCAGTTTTGTAGATTTATTGGTTGTTGCTATGGTTATTGTAATCAATTCTGGAATTGGTGGATTTAGCTGAGTGGACCAAGCATGGTTGATCCGATTACAGCCAATAGTCCGTTTACACTGTCTGATTACAACTTTGCAGAATGATTTATGGAAAATGAAACAGCCAATGCCCCAATCACATTTTAGGAAATTGTAATGGTAATGGTTATCACCTATATTTCAGGGGGTGAAGGGACGGATGTACGGATTTGAACTTCACATTCAAGACAAACTGTATTGCTTGGTTGCTGACAGTCAATCGGAGATGGACGCGTGGATTTCAACTCTGTGCAAAGTCACTGGAATAGATATGGACACGAGCAGTAAATCCTCCGGTTTCAGCTTCCCTGTGAAGTTAAAAGCACCGAAACTGCATCAGTCTCTGAGAGAAAGTCTTAAGAGTAGCAAACATCCAGAACTTCTTGAATTTGCAAAGGAAACGGAAGTTTTGAACGCGAAACGAAGGAAGGATGGACGGAAGAAACTTTTTTCGCTAGTGCACGACCTGGACAATAACGGTACGTGCGTGAATTACGACGACGCACGGATAGATGCGGACGTTTTCCAGCAACACTTTGGAATGCGTTTAGTGTTGGAATGCGAGGAACTGAAGTTTCGTCTGTTGAGAACTTTGCACGATGGCAGTGAGGCAAACATTGAGCCGTTCTTTTTGTGTATTGCGTTGTTTGACGCTAAAATAGGAGCAAAGATTTCAGAGGATTTCCACTGTGATCTAAACGACGCTTCCACCGTGGAAATGCTCCACGGCTCGGATCTAATTGAGAACGGCCAGGCAAATGGGAATGGTGTGGATCATCCGGAAGTGAATAGCCGAGAGTTGGAATATACTTGTCCGAGAAAGGTATGACAAGCTGGATCAATGTCAGTATCTGAGCAACCGCGTACCTACCCCTTTCCCTAACCCAATTAACGGTCAGCTGATAACAAGTTAGGGTCAATGTCGGGTTACAAGAGGGGTAGGTGCGCGGTTGCTTCGCTGTCCACGTTCAATCACGTGGCTTTTTACCACTATCATTTGCGTATTCTGTGCGAGTAATCTGCGAGCATCACAAGAATGATACGTGGGAATTACACGCACTTGATGCGGGTGTAAAACGCTTGAAATGTAACTCTATTTATTCTGAATGCCTTCAAGGTATGCCTTTTGCTATCCTGCATGTTTTTAATTAGGCAGTCTTCTCCATAACAAATCCCCACTCGGAGGTGTACCTGGTAGTTAGGATAGAGAAAGTTTTACAAGGAAGCATCAGTTCGTGTGTCGACCAATACCTCAAGTCTGGTGACACCAAAAAGATTGCACAAAAGGCACACAAGCTGGCTGAGGTATGCTGCAAAAGTCTGGGTCAATATGGAATGCCATTTGCTTGGACAGCAAGGTTAGTTTTTGTTTATTATTTGTTTATGATTTTTTCATCGCTTATTACGCAATCAATCTTACGGTTATATTCGAACGAGTTTTTGTGAACACTGAGCTTCATCCTATTTTTGGACGCGGCCGGCATTTGTGGGTCAAGAAATTAATGGTAGTCTTGTTAGCTTGACTGGGTCCGGTGCAACCAGCCTTGTTATTAAGGAAATAGAACCAAACAGAACATAGTCAAGAAATTTTTCTTGGTTTAACCGTGTTCTTTGAGTTTCCTTTTTTTTTCTTTCTTTAACCTTCAACTCCACTGAATGACAAGCACCTTATTTCTCCTAACAGTATTAATGCGGAATGAAACAGTCAGGTCACGAGAATAAAGGAAAAGATCGCCAAATAGTGAAGCTCTTGATTGTCAAACAAATTCTCCCTGTCTGTACCATAGGCAATGTATAGAAAACAACACGGAGAATATACATATAGCCAGGTGTTATGGTGTGAAGGCTTAAGTGTTAACGAGAATCGACTCTAAGTTATACTATTGTCCTTTGTAGAAACAAGAGTCCACAAAGACGATATTTGTTGTTTCATGCTATTTTCCCTTCACATTTAACGGCAGTCTTCTGCCTGACATACCATTAGTCAAAATTATCTCTTAGAGAGTTCATGTCCTCAGCAAGACAGTTTATATTTATATTTTGTAGGCCGTTGTTCAACAATGATGGGGAACTGGAAATTGGGGAGTCAACGTCAATCTACAAACAGGTCCGTTCACGTCAGAAGATGTGTTTCAGATAACCTTTTTAATGGCAGAAATATTATGTGCTTTCTGGAGCATACTTTTGTTACCTCGTTCAAAATTAAGTGCAAGGATTTCCACGTGGACAATTCTTTCCGTATTTGTTTTACAGGACAGAGAAAAACTCAGCGATGAAGAAGTGATAAAACTGTTGTCAAACTACAGTGCCACGTAAGTCACCTTCAAAACGAATTCGCTAGACATTAAAAATGAACTTTAACTTTACTGTACAAAATAAGCGACATATTTTTAAACGGGACAGTTCTTAAAAATGCATGATTGCATTTAACTCCATTTAATGCCACATAATTAATTTGGAAATGATATATGATGGCCTTAGATTTTGTTCTGTCTGCTTATTTATAGAAAGGAAAAATTCAAGCAACAGGTTATACCAGGAACGCTGCATATTTCTCTAAAGAAATATTTCGAAGGAATACCAAGTAAGCGAAACTACGTAAAGCAAACAAAAGCGATAAAGCCTCATCGACCTCGGTCAGGTTTTAACTCAAGGGTTAAAATTAAATCGTCAAAACTTTTCAACTTTTATTTCTGTACTGAATAGGTCATTTCACGTTTGTGTACTTAGTTACCAAGCCTTTGATATGGAGTGAGGCTGAAGGTGACCTTGTTGTGATAGAGAGACTAGTATCTAGTATACATGATAACAACGTAATTCACATTTGATTTGCTGCAACTTTTGTATCATAACAAGGTCATCCCTCGCCTCACTCCTGTTCAAAGGCTTGTCAACCAAGCACACAACTGTAAAATGGACCATAAGCCAGAGGGGAAGAGTCGCGATTTTATCAAAACAGGCGAGGGAACATGCCATGTTTTCAAAGCCAGTCGGTTGGTTGCGTTTACACTTAATCAAAGATCGACACCTATGAAAAACTTGAAAAATGATAGGGGGAAATGAGAAAGGTTGAATTGATTCTTGAGCGAAGACCTGCGCTACTTTTCCCTTGATTGCGATTTTAAAATATGGCTTCAGGCCCGTAAAAATTACCCGGGTTTTCAGAGAAACGAACCCAAATCTACACAGCGGTCAGAAATGGGGCATTCGCAAGGGGATCATTTTCGGGCGCCCGCGCGCCAATTTCCCGCGCAAAAGGTATGAGGAAACCATAAGATACAATCACCTTTTCGCAAAGTAAGCGAAAGAAAATTGAAATGTTCATGGAAATCTGTAAAAAGAAACAAAGGTCAGGAAAAGGAAACGGCCGACTTTTCCAACACAAAACCTATTGGTGTACGGGTATCCTGTTGATTTACCATTCAGCTCACCGTATCTTCCATACTACATGGGGTATTGACTAACTTTTGTTTTCTCGATAGACTCTCTAACGTCGTCACTGGTTCCCGTGAAGCCGTGGGATGATTCTCTAAACGTTCGTCCCACAGTTGAAGTGGAAGAATTCTCACAATCATGTCCTGAAGCTGCACATCCGCACATTTCCTACGTGAACAACTTCTACGTCTACCCTCTCGCTCTAAACTATAGCAATCAAAAAGTTTACTCCAAGGTAAAATGCCAGTTAAATATTTCTGTTCAGACGAACCCTGGTCACGTCTGCCTTGTTGTTTCTTCTCGTATCCGGTTTTGATTTCAGGTCAATAACAGTTATTGTAACTCGCTATATTATCTTTCCTATTCAGGCAAGAAACATTTCTGTGAAGATTGAATTCAGAGATTCTGATGATGAAAATGCGAAACCTCTCAAGGTATCTCCAATTGTCTACGAGATTTACAGTCATCATTTGAGGTGTCTGTCCATCAGATTTTCTTTCACATATTATGGAATGGTCATATTAACAAAAAAATTGTTTCTGTGCAGTGTATATACAAGAAGAAAGGAAGCCCTGGGTTCACTACGCATGCTTTCGCTGCCGTTGTTCATCACTGCACAACTCCCACATTTTACGAAGAGGTGAGTGCAAGAATTATTTTACATCATAGCCTTTAAACAAAGGTCCGTTTCTCGAAAGTTCCAAATCAAAATTTGAAGAATAGAAAAGGCTCTGTCACCGGAACCAGTCCATTGTGTACCTTTGTACTTTTCAAAACCAAATCTTGAATGAAAACAGAACAGCTTTGCGGGCCCGTTAAGCGAGACCTTTGAGAAACGGGCACCGGGGGCCCTCATTATTATTGCTACAGGATGCACGTTTCTCCATCTTCAGGAAGATTGGGAACGGATCGAGAGGGGAGATTTGCCGAGGGTCTGGCACTAAATATCATCATCAGTACCAGACCCCTTGCAGACCTCTCGTTGCTCAAGGCCTACTGACGAAGAAAGTGCGTCCCGGAGTGCTTCTAATGAGGGCTTGCTCCTACGCTATTCTCATCATCACTCCTTTATTCAGAAACGCCACTTGTCGTTCGACCGACAACTTTGTTCACTGCTGATTTTAAAGGGTATACAGAGCTTATAAGCAAAGGGGGATAATCTTTTCCATATTCGGGGCTAATACTGCTCCATTCAACTTTGATGCAGTACCTTGGCAACCTTTGTGGTATGTCATGAGCATACAGGCGTGCAAGGTTTAATGCTATTGCCTTTATCACTATGCTTAACCAAATCCTAAGTCTTCTGTGGAAAACGACTACTGCCAAGAAACTTGAGATGAAACTCTTTTCAAATGAATGGTGCTGCCTCAAATGGACCTTCTTTGGGATGACCCTCCGTTCGTTTGTTTGCAGGTGAAAATAAAGCTTCCTACTCAACTTACAGAAAAGCATCACGTATTCTTCACATTCCAACACATTGCGTGCGAACAGACCAAGAGCAGCAGTGGTACAGGATCAGTCAAGGGTAAACCTCAGCCCATAGAGACACCAGGTCAGTAACCCAAGGACTTACAGATTATTGACCGAGCGTGTAGCTAGTATGGTTGGATATCGGTGAAGTTACAAACGCCAATGAGAGTATGGCCAATATCTAGCTGTCGTGAGCGAACAGACTTGGTCAACAAAGGATTAAGTAAATGGCCAAAACCCGTTTAGCGTTTTTCCCTGTAATCTTGAGCGTGTAAGGTGGCTCGTTACAGAGCCAACCGCATAATGCATACGATTTATTGATAAAGATCGTGCTACTTTTTATGATCTATCGAAATCTATCAGTTCAAGTCTCTGGAGCTTTTACTTAAGCATTTCAAGAGAGACAGAGCTCTATCTTCAGAAATGCACGGATATTAACGGGAAAACAACGAGGGCAGATTGTTTGAGCGTAATTCATTGATTGACGCACACTTCTTTCCATTTGCGCTTCAGTTGGATATGCATGGATGCCCGTGCTACATGGATCAATGTAAGTATACTAAACGAAATGATGACGTTTTAATTACGTTTAAAAACATTCGAGTGAATTCAAACAAATCTGGACCTTCCCTTTTCCTCCTACACCTGATTTACGTCTAAAAACTGACCCCGTCGCCAGTTGTAATCCGTGTAGATTAAAATAAATGTGGAACTTGTTTGTTCCTATTATACTGGTGGCTTTCTAAAACTGACAGAAGAAAAGTATGTCCTTGTTTTTTCAGCGTAAAACTCAACTAAGTAATTTTCCTTTTAATCTGTTGAGTCTGGAGTTAAATAATCCAAATGCTTCTTCGTTGCTAGGAAATCATAATACAATGTTAACCCAAAATTGGTATTTCCTTTCCGTAGCATTAAGACGGAAGAAAGTAATCTGTTAGTTGGCCAAGTAGCTCCCAGTGGCTACCTCTCCGCCTACTTTGCCGGACTCAAGAGGGTATTTAGATGAGTCTAAGTTGTTTTCGCTACCGTTTGCTATACAATTGTTAATGCAAAGATACAGTGTAGCATCTTTTTAATGTAAAATGGATTTTTCTGATAGGATATCTTTAAAATTACAGTGGCACAAGATATAATAATGATGACTGGAAAAGCAAATGTGGATTAAGAGTCTCTAAATTTCTCCTTCAGATCTTGCGTTCTCTCGGAGAGATCTCGGAATTTGCATTCATTTTCGAAAATAAAAGAGAGGGCTGGAGTTATAGGACTTGACAAGAGTCGCTTTTGATCTCTTTTCTGCGGCACGCAAAATTGTCTTCAACTCTAGGACAGCTGCACTGAAAATTTGGTGATATACTAATTATGAAAAACATCAAAAAGGCCAATTTGTAAGAATAAGCCAGAAAGGACCGTATATGTCCAAGGATGGAGAAGATTTCAATGGTTACTATTCCTAAGTTCTTACGTTCTCCGTCTTAACAGGCAACTGGCCCCGATCTAAAATGGGTCGACAAAGAGAAACCGCTGTTCAAAGTTTCCACCCGGCTAGTTTCCACAATCAATACTCTGGTAAGTGTTGCCGACAAAAGCATTGTCCAGTTGAAAGTATTAGGTGCTTTTAATTTCTCAGTTATCTTTGTCACCATTTATATGTATTATTGATCTGTGGGTTTCGTTGCTTTTCTCATTGTTCGTCTGTTTGTTTCAATTTATTTTTTTTTATTGTCCGCAGGATCTTGAGGTGGACAACTTTTTCCGTCATTGTCAGAAATTTGACGGATCGCCAGCTATGGATATTGAGATGGTGAAAATTATTAAGGTAGAGATTGTGTTCTCCGCTGGCATAATGAAACGAAATAGGTGGGGCCTGGGAATGGATCGTGTTCATTTGTCGGGCAGTTTCGCCATCTCAGGCTCTTTCTTACCTCAGTATACACCCGCCCAACCACTCGTAATTCCTAAATCTTGTCAGTAATGAAGTTCTGAAAAGGATGTACTCGTGTAAAATAAGTGTCAGATTTTGGCGATCACCCTTGCATAGCTACCGTCCTTTCTCTGAGGACTTCAAAATTGTTTAGCGTGATTTTTACTTCCCACTATTTCACTTTTACAGCTGCTGAATGCTGTTGCTGTTGGCACAGTGGCAAGATTCCTGCCAGTTATCTTCAACCAGCTTTTTCATATTCTCGTTGTTACAGGAAACGAGGATGTTTCTCTAAATGTGGTCAGGTATGTGAGTTATATGCGATAGAAATACGCGATGATACGCAAATTTTCGTTCATACTCTTACGCAGTGGAAAATTGAAATAACAGTTGTCCTTTTCAAGCACGTTGGTTCCAAACCAGAAAAAGGTGCAAATGTACCAGGAGCAGCCAGAGGCTCAAGCTTCTTGAACCTCACTGTAAGAAAGACGCGTTCAAAATTTCTTTTTTTTCCCAAGAACTGGTAAAGACTGGAATCAGCTCCTCCCCGATATGCCTGATGTTACGTCGCTTGCCGAATTTAAGAATTACCTTGTTTCATTAACTTAATAAGAACGTGTCGAGCGTGTCAATTTGTATAGTCAACTTTTCATTCTATATTATACTTATTTTAATTTTTGCTTTTGCATTTTGTAAGTGGTTATTGTGTTCCCTAACAGTGAATAAGGGGGCACTATGGTCCACGGCCATCTTGGATGTCAATCCGGCCTTGTGATTGGTTTATTTGTGCCACGTTGTGTAAAATACTCTTCTCTGATTGGTTGTGTACCTTGTACTTCTTACTTCTTCATATACTTGCTGTTTCTTGGCAGGGTGCTGATTCGAATCACGGCGCAACTCGACGGAGCGAACCGATTAGAAGCTTTGAAATCTTATGTCAAGGTTTGTATTTCTTGTGTTCGTTCGCCTGCCTGATAAATGGTCTTTCCAAGCCGGTGAATATCAGTATTATTGTCTCAAACTGAACTTCATACAGTTGTCTCATAGCATTCAAGGTGAGCATCAACGAAGTCCATCTTGTTGTGGAAGTATTTTAACATCTGTCTCACTCTTCTGTGACGCTCAAAACTACCTTCAGAGCGAGGAAAAACGTAAGCCAAAACATAATCGAACGTCAATTTTTTTTTCGTCAATTTTTTTCCTTTAGTATGTATTCGTCACAGAGCAGCCTCTGGACAATAAAAATACGATTCACGAACAGCTCTCAAAATACTTAATGACGACTCTAAAGCCTGGCGCTGATCCGGCGGTGGTCAAAGATCTCATGAAGGTACAATATGTTTGCAAACTTCAACGAAAAGGGAGTGTAGAACATAGAATTTTAGGCTTTGATAAGGGTTTTCTTTATACGGGTACGGTGATTACTGCGAGTCAATCGTTAGGCGATGCAGTAGAGGAGGACTATGTAAGTGAAACAGGGTATCTGATTGACTTACACTCGTTAGTGTTAAAACTCAGAAATGTGTACATATGCTGATTTGTCTTGGGTCAATTTTGCTCGTGGATATGCGAAGCATAGGGACGAGCCATGTGAGGATTCGATATGTAAAATACGTGACATCAGCACGGACTTATGAGTCTGCGGAGAGCATGCGTCTTATTAAATGTAGTGGGCTGATGATTAGATATGGCGGATCCATTAGGGAGGACTCCTGTGGGGATAGCGGCTCAATTCTGTTTCTCCGAATCACAGCGACATTGGCCTTTAATCCAATCATTGTATATTCTACTTATATTCTGCACATTATGTCCACTAGTTTACCCTAGTATTAATTTGATTTCGAGTTCCAATTAATTATAGGAAACATAAATTGACACAGTATTATCGTGATTTGCGTTTTGAGAGTTTTACAAGGCAGCTCTGCTTAAAGCGAACTGTCTACGTAATTATTTGTATGCTGAGATACTCAACTAAGATTTGTTTAAAGACGACAGCTTATCAGCTCATTCCTATTCATCACTTTAGGATGTAACCTTCCACCGTTTTGTTTATTTTTCAATAAAAAACAGTTCATGCTAACGGAGCCAAAAGAAGGTCGTTGGTTTTAGCTCACTTTATTGTGTAAAACTGTGTTATTTGCTTCTGCAGTTGTCGTGGTTTTTCTTCGAGATAATCGTGAAAAGTATGGCTCAGACTCTCGTGCAATCAGACAAGTTGAAGGTAACTTCACAACATGCATTTCAAATCACATTTTATTTTCTCTACGTTTACTTTCTTGGATCACACGCAGTACTGACACAATTGTGTGTTAATTTCTGTATTTTACCACAAAGACCACAGTATTCAAGTAGCTGAAGTATATTAGCTTTTTTGTAGATTCCAAGCGGACACAACGTGGCAAATACTGTAGTAACTTCGAAGAATCAACGTGAAGATCGCACATGCCGTGAAAACCCGTAGTAACCCCTTATATCGTAACATAATTACGCATATTCTCAATGTTATCTAAGTAAGACTTTGAATCTCTATAGTTAATTCGCAACAAATAAATTGTATAGCAGGCTCATGAAATTATTACTGATCAGGTGCTTTTCTTTGTTGGATTATTTGCAGAGATTGAACCGTGAGAGCTGGTTTCCAGAGAGCTACAATCGCTGTTTAGAGAATTTCCTTCAAGCTTTTGTGCCCCAAATCATCAGCAGATTAAAAGACCATCCCCAAATAGCAAAGGTTTTGTTTTTGACAATATTATCTCTCTCGTTGTCGTCGTTTCGTTGATATCCGCTACATTGGTAAGAGTAATTTCAATTGAGTGTCGAAAGTAACCCGGGATTGCTTTGGTTTTACTCAACTTAACATTGCTCCGTGATTGGCCCAGAAAACTCGCCACACCATCTTCTCAACCAATCCGATGCAAAAGCAGTTTGTTAGTTATCACTTTGAGTTCTCATTGGCTAATGATAACGTAAACCTTTCTTCTGATTGGTCCTTGGGATTACTTTGGTTTTATTTTTTAGACACTCAATTAAACTGCTGTACTTGTAGACAGAGATAGAGAGTAAGTCTAAAGAATTAATTTTTACCTCGTTATTTTCTTGACGTTCATTTACTGTCGTCCTTTAGGAAGCAAATTTCCACTTGGCTTGTTTCACCAAGGTATGCTAAACAGTTAATTATTAACAAGATCTTACCAGATGATATTCATCTGTGACAACTGAACTACGATTTAATTCGAGCGTTTCTTTCATTATCTTAAAGAATTGTCATCGTAAGGATAACAGTAGCTTTTTCCAATACTGCCGAGTAATTCTACCATTCTTCATTTGACTTCTGATGTGAAATTTTCTTTCGTTTTACGTTGATCCCCATTTTTTTAGTTTCCATTTTTTCGGCTCAGTTTCTTCGCGTGTATTTCATTTAAAGTGATGTTTTTTTATGTTTAGGACTGTTTCACGTACTTAGACCGTGGATTTGTCTTTCAAATGATCAGTTATTATTCTGAACAGTTTAAAGACTCTGATACACAGGTAAACGTTTGTTTGTCTTATGTTATGATCGAGGGCCCTGCTAACCCCCCTGCAACGAGAAAGAGGGTCCAACACCCTCCTCTCTATTCAGGAATGACACATCCGTTTTGGTAGTAACTTTCTCCCTCTTTTTTGACATGAATATGTATCTTGACCGCTGGTCTTCTCGTAACTGAACACTCCACGGGTTTAACCTTTTACTGTAGTACTCTATAACCTTCTTCCTACTTCTAGCCATTGTTATTGTTGATGTTGTTGTCATATTTGAATAATGGCTCGATTCGAATAGAAATTTGAAAACTTTCCTGACATCTTTTCCCTTTGTTTGCGTCACAAAAGCAATATATTTATGTAGCTAAAGCACACAATCACTGAATAACGTCATGGCATTTGAGTTTTTCGCCACTGGCACACATCTTACAGAGTGAAAACTGTGCAAAGGGGGTAACTCGATCCTAGACTGGTCTTGAGTCTGTAATTTGATGATCTTGGTGGACAAATTCTTTGAAAAGTCCTATCCATCTTGGATATATTTCCAACTTGACCGTTTGAAAGGGTTGTCCTGGTTTAAATTTAAACCTTACCGTTGACTGATTTTATCTGTGTACTTTTCAGATGCTTGAATTTAAATTCGAATTTCTTCAAGTTGTTTGCAATCACGAGCATTACATTCCTCTCAACTTACCACTGGACGTCAGAAGTACGTTTTAAACTAAATTTATTACTTTACTTTTTATTAAGTGTGATATTAAAGGTCGCACCGCACACACTCTGACTAGCTGATACCATTGCTCAGCTTCTTATGGGTATTTTCGTAATAGAAACACTTATGGACGCCAGTAAGTTTCCCAGAGTGGGGGAGAGGGGGGGTAGACTTGGGTCAATTTTGCTGGGTGTGTGCTGCTGGCCCTCCCCTATTGTAGTCTGTTGTGTGGCCAATTATAGACCCTATTTTATTCACTTTGGAAAATGAAATTTTCACGATCTCAACGGCAACAACTTTTTAATCGCCAACCAGAATTTTCTTAGCCCCCAAATCCCGAAAATATGCGGCCCCACTCTGTAACTCTATTGAAAATGCAACCTCATTTTGGTCAACCAGTTGTGAAAATGCGACCCCATCCAGTGGCACATCTCCATCAGCCTATAACTAGAAAGTAACCCCCCGGGCAGGACCCCCTCCCCCCCTTCTGTCTTTCGTCACGCATTGAAAGTTTTCGAGTTAAATCTGTTTTCAAAGGTTTTCCTTCTAACCCTTGATTTTAAGAACCTGACTCGAGGATCGCCACGCGTTTCTACCAGTTTTGGTAACCCGCTGGTTGTCTTTTTACACGGTCCTAGCCTTGAATAATATAAGATTACCACCGTATGAAAACTTTCAAGCACATTTACAAACTCTGCTTGTTATGACCGGTTCACGTCCGGCGAAACATGTCATAAACTTTAAGGACTACACAATGCACTGAAATGATGCATTCATCAGAGTCAGAGCTTCAATTGTCATGTCCCATGACATTGTTGTTATCGTCCTCCCAGATCTTGGCGGTGTTCATGAGTGTGAGCTGACCGACGATTACTGTAAGAGGTATTTCCTTGTGGGACTTCTTCTACGAGAGGTAAGGACTAACATATGCGCTCGTATTATATTCCAAACACAAACCCCATCGCCAAAAACACCAGCAACGATCAACTGCAACCTTTGTCCAAAGAGACCATTTTAATTTCAAAACACAGTAACCACAGTCACTCTCAAATCCTCTGTTTCATCTGCTGTTCTCAGTCGTTGCTGTATTTTTTATGCCGTCCCGCAATTCTTTTGTAGGTCTCCTCTGCTCTCACACAGGGCCGACACATCAGAAAACTTGCCATTAGGGTGCTAAGAAACATGCTCGTTAAACATGAACTTGATGACCGTTATGAAGGAGAGGTGAGTATAGACCTAATGCATGTATTGTAGCCGCTCATAAAGCGGAAAATTTTACGCACCCTCTGGTTCGGTTAAGGGAAAACGTCGACCTTTGCCCAGTGGTTGGCATGCTGTTCTTGAACGAGACACCTCACTCTCACAATATCTCCATCCCCCTCCCGGAAATGGTATTGGATACCGTCAAACTTTCAGGTAAACCTGATGATATGCAGGGTAAGGTGAGGACCTAGAAGGGGGGAATTTACCCGTGATAGACTAGCATCATATCCGAGAGGAGTATCAGTACTCTGTCAGTCACGGCACCCCTCAGAAACCTGGATAAGCCCCAGCGGCTCCAAAGGTCATTCTCCGTGCAGACTTCGCTTTGCTCTTTCCTTCGTTTGAAAGAACAGAATTTTGACCAACTCTTAAATAACAGAGCTTCTTTATTTTGTGTCCACAGCAAAAGCAAGCCCGTATATGCACGCTTTACCTTCCCCTCCTTTCGGTCCTTTTGGATCACGCACCTCGTTTCCATGGTAGCAAGTATGAATTGTCGAACCCAATCCTCGCGCAGCAAATGTCCCAGACCTCTTCGACGATGACTGTTCCCGGCAGTGAATTTGGTGCAGACTCAAATCGCAGCTCGGCGGCGATGAAGCAGAGTCCGAGTGATTCACTCACTCAGCAGACAGCTGCTCCACTCAGAGAGGCGACTCAGATCGCTCTGCAAGTGCGACTAGATGAGGACGAGACAAAGGAACTCCTTCTATGTGCTTTGTACATCACCAAGAACTTAGAGCAAGGTACGTGAAGTTGGCTCTCTTCGAGTGAGTGGCGTAATAGACACTACAGCGGATTAAGTAAAAGGGAAATACATGGAAAAGAGTAGAGAACTCAAAGTTAACACAACCGTTTTCTATTGCGCAAGCGTGCGAGTTACCAATTCACTTTTGTTTACGTTTTGCGTCTAAAATTGAATAGTTCAGAGAGTGGCACGGAGCGAAGGGAAAAAGGCAATCTCGGATTACTTTCGACTCTCACTCGAAGACTGCCTAATACGTGGTTTTATTCTGTTAGACACTGCTTCCTAGATAATGAATAGCGTTTTACGAGCTTTCACCCTCATGAAGTCTTTTTCGCGTACGGATTTCTGTGAAAACTTGTTCAAACTGCTTGTATGCTTCATCTGTGGATAGATGAGCGCGGGGCAAGCTTACTCTTTAGAAATATGCTATCATGGTGTCGTTTCCACGTTGATAACTCCGGGTCCTTTTCAGCGTATTTTAAATTTCTAGTGTCTCTCGCACGCTTCCAACCCCAAGGTGAAATGATTTTTACTCAGGTGTGATCCTGGACTGGTGGCGCCAGATCTTGTCATCTACCGTCAAACGTCCTCACTGGCACCCTACAGTTCTGTATTTGGTGCAGCAGGACAAGAACTACTGCAAATTCGCCGCCATTATCGATGTATTTGATTTGCTCGAGTAAGTTGTCGCAAAAGTGTTTTTGTTCCTTGATTTTTCTATTATTTGTAGTATTGTTGTTATTATTATTATTATCATCATCATCATCATCATCATTATTATTATTATTATTATTATTATTATTATTATTATTATTATTATTATTATTTGCAAGAGGTTATAAACGTCAGTTAACTGCGCTTCATCTTGATGTATATTTGCAGACTTGCTTTAAAGCACTTTCAGTACGTTGGAGAGGATAAAATAACTTCTTACAGGTTAAGTGATTTAGGTTTTATTGTTAGAATCGAGGAGAAGCTGGATATCTGACTGACAGACTGACTGGCTAACTGACGGACTTACTGACGGACTGGTGTGATGTCGAATTGACTGATTGATTAACAGACATTTTGACTGACCGAATGACTGACTGATGTAATATTTAACAGTCTTCCCATTCAGTGCGTTGTGGTAGAGTCATAAATGCACATAACTTTCACATACGTACGTAACTTTCACATACGTACGGATTTACGCCTTTTAACTTGCTAAATTCCTAACTATAAACACTTGTCCGTGCAAAGACTCTCTTTGTAAGGGCTTAACTACATTGAAGGGAAACCCTCCTTTTACTACGAACGCTCAAAGTTACAAGAGCACTGTCGACGAGTTGAGTTTTAATCTGTTTCCTTATGGTTAGGAAGTTTAAATTTGAACTATTCTTTTAATACAGCTTGAAAATTATTGGCCGTACATAAGAGTTTTCTGTGAGAACCGTGAAGTTTTACAAACCTCTTTCATGGGTGCTTGGCATATGAATTCTTTTTTACGCATGCAAAGAAGTAACGCAGCTTGACAAGGCTACTGAGGAAGGCTTAGATCAAGCGGAAGGGAGATGATCTCGGTTCCATCCATTTTGGAAGAGGTCGATAGTTTTGGTACCTGCGTAACTTGAACTAACAATCCTAAATACAGAATTCTAATGTATGTCTAAAATAAGGTAAATTGTAGACAACACGATGTCAAAAAAAGTTAGCGTTCTAATTTTTTGCCATTATCTGTGCTTGTCGCGCCCTTTAAGCACTCTTTAATAGTGATAGTTCCCCTTCTTGACTAAATGTTAAAAGATATGCAATATTAACCTGGTTAATTTTATGCTTTAAACAGGGATTTTGAATATCTTAGAGCGATATGGCCTCCATTGAGCAACCAAAAGTACGAACGTAACAGCGTATTCACTTATTATAACAAATAATTTAAAAAAACATTGTTAATGTTTAACGTAAATATGACCCTTAAATAAGGCAGTTACCTTAACAGTTCTTCTGTTCGGCTGTTATTTGCAATATAACTAATTAAGCAGTAACTTGAACTAAATATTCAGGCTTCTACTTTTTGTGTACTGATCGCATGGAATAATCTTGAGAATGTGGCGAGAACGACGGAATTTGTTCTGCTAACTACTGTGTACGTAAAAAAAATATTTCTCTTAACTTTCGATTTTGCAATTTCACATTGACTCTTCATCATGTAATCTTGTTAAAAATATTCATTAACAACGGGTATTAAAATCCTACACTTGTCTCTTTTTGCATTTCGTAATTCGCTTACTTCAATCGGCATAATTCTTTATTGATGTAGTAGCTGATGGAAGTGGTTGCGTTGTTCTTGTTCCTGATAAGTTTTATAGATTGTAGCTTAGTTTATTTTTGTTTGTGTTTGTTTGTTTGTTTTTTTTACTTATTCCTTTGTCTTTCCGTCGGTCTGTCTTTCCGTCGGTCTGTCTTTGTTTCTCGGCTCTTCATCTTCATCTTAAAACAAGCGCGTCTTAGCCTCTGTGGACCCCCCCGTTTTCCGTGACATGTACAGGTCCAATAATCATCGTGCCATCAATCCTACGCCTTCTTTCAATAATTACATTGTTATTTCAACCGCTTTAGCGCGCCGAGTGAAAGCACCAAACAGTTCCTTGAGCATAAGTACCAGGGTGGAGTCTCTAACCATGGGAAGACACGACACTCTCGAGCAGCGAGCAGCGGAGGTAAGGATTTATAAAATTCCTCTGGATGTGTCACTTGCCTGCCAAGAAATAGGTTGTAAGCTAAATTAAATTTCAGTTTCAAGGAATACTAAATAAATTGAATCGATGGATTCAAATCAATTTTTCGTCCCAGGCAATACGATTGCTCTGTGCATGCCCTCTAGGCAAAGCCCTGGATAAACCACGTTTCAATCCATTCTTAAAGGGCAAACTCTTTCTCAGGAAACGATTCGATTGGTTTCAGTTGTTGAAATAACTATTTCCCATGATTTTGGCCTGACTAGCAATGTTTTTTTCTCTCTTCAACTGTACTTTCAAAAGGGTTAACTCTCGATACTCGCGTGCTCATGGAAGGAAATCTTGCCAATGAAGTTGGTCTTATTGTGTTGGACACTATTGAACTGTTTTGTGGTCATTTTAAGGTAAGTGACACTGGACACTGTCTCTAGTAACGAGTAACTCTATGCTCATCTCAGTTCCCATTTCATGAATGATTAATTTCTGAAAATACAAGTGATATCTTTAGGGATGTCATGGACAATCAGGTTTCACTGAAGGGCGTTTTCAATTGAGTGTTGAAAGTAATCGATTATTGCTTTGGTTTTGCCAAACATCGCTTTGTGATTGGTCAAAAAAAAAAAACCTGCGCCACCTTCTCAACCATCAGATTTAAAACTCCAACCAACCTCGATCTGGAGACACGTTTTCCCGCGCTTCATGCAGTTCTGCTGTTTTTGATCAGAGTTTTAATTGGCTCATGATGATGTCAATTTTCGCTCCGATTGGCTGTGGTGATAACTGTGTTTTTTGAAATTGAAATGAAAACCGTTCTTATTTACAGCCGAAGAATTTTACATATTTGAGGAGACTACAAAAAGTTACACCTTGCACTTCTAAGTTATTGTCGCGTGTTATTTTATTAACCACTTTTGTAACTGTTATCTAAAGCTTTCATATTTCTTCTTACCAAAACAATTCCGGACTTTTTACAAATACACTTTGAGTATTTTTATGATGAAAATGATTGATCTGTTTTTACAATTAAATTTTGTCATGATTTATTTTGTCACTGTTTATTTTTTTTAATTCTTTAGTATCACTTGGAGCAGGATGATGGAGATAATTTACTGATGAAGAAGGTACGTGACATTGGGAAAATTCTTCCAGGCCAATAACTTGTAATAATTTTCATTATGTTGTTATTTTATTTCTGTTGTCCTTGCTTTAGCACCTTTCCCTTTAGAGGAGGAAAACTTTATCTTGGAATCACTTTTTTGATTTATTGTAAACTGGGGAACGTCATGAAAATTTTGCGTCCTCGAAACTTTCCTTAAACTTTATTCCTAGTTAGTTTCCCCCCCCCCCCCCCCCCTTATACGTTAATTGTATTTAAAATCACATTGTGTACCCGTCTCTGCCGTTCGAAGGAAGAGAAGGACTTGTTATTGTATTGAATAACAGAGTTCTCATTTGTCGTCTACAAAACATGGCAAAAATTCGATGTTTACAGCTGTTTTCGGATCAGTACTTCATCATTGCATTAGTTTAATATAGAACTAGGATATGAAACATATAGAGAGTTAATGGAATATCTTTGAGTACCTAAAGGCAACGCAGTGCGTGGTAAAATTTCCTTTTGATTATTCGTCGCTCTAATTGTCAAAGCCATTTGGCTGTTAGTTGTTACTGTAACAGACAGGTAACAGATTTCCACTTTGTATGCTTATTCCAACAGGTGTTTAACGTGCTGCTAAGCTTTTTACAGATTCCTCAGTCTGAGTTCATGATGAAACACGTGTTTGCAAGTCTTAGATCGTACATCAACAAGGTAACAAATCGACTGATCATCTAAGCACTTTATTATTTCTTTCCATTTTGTAACTGTTAAAACAATATATTCGCAAAGATATGATAGGAAACACTTTTGCGTTAGTGTGTACTTGTGTGGTTAATTTCGCCTCTGATTGACAGTGAACATAGTATGCTATTGCGCTGCTACTTAGTCTTTTAAGATATTTAGTCCTGATGAAACGGTTCCAGAATTCTAATCCAGCATCAGTTAAACGTTGTTAGATGAAAGGTCAGGAACCACTAGTTCTCTCTGGTCTTCTCGGTTTAGCACTATTCATGATTTCGCGCGAGGTTGAACATTCTGTGATTGGTTAATCTCCCTCCCCATTCCTCCCCTCCCTTTTCTCTTTTCTCTCCCTTCCCTCCCCTCTCCGTTTTCTTTTGCTCCCAAATCACCTTGCACTTCATGCTTTAGTATTCGTGACATAGTATGACAATTCTCAACAGTGAAGTGGGCACCTCTCTATCTTATGCTACCGATTTGTAAAACGTTCTTTAATGTTTTCTTGTTTTACTTCAGTTTCCAGCTGCTTTGTACAAGGGAAGCGCTAGCTATTGTGGCGATCTTTGTCGTGAGGTAAATATTTGAGTTTAGACGGATCATTTTCCGTTCAATGAAAAATTTTTGCAGTTCTTGTAGCTTGCTTTCCCCGGTCATCTTTGTTTTATATATTTTCATTTGCCGTGTAAATTGTCTCTATGTTATTTAATGTCAGTGATGTATCTATCTTTATCTTCCTTGGCTAGATTTTAAGCTGTTGTAACTCAAAAATGGAAAGTCTTCGAAACCAGGTGCGTGGATTACTTAATAACGTCTTGTCACCTGTCAGTCAAAACCGAGCTAAAACGACCTTTGGAAATCTCTATATAGCAGGGATATAATTGATGTATTGTCGTGCAATAAAATTTGTTGTCAAATATTCAAACTCAGACCAAACCTAAATCAGTTGTCGCCTAACTCCTCGAAGATTATTTCCCGTCGACAGGAAGATATAGGTTCACTTATCGATCCCCTTCTTTGAAAAGATTTCTCTCGGTTGTATCTCGCTCAATTTATTGATCAAACGCCGGGAGTAGGATAAATTGCTTCTTCGATAAACGGAACGAAATAAGCATGTGACCTGTGAGAAAGATGCGTTTGTTGCCTTTTACCATGACTTTTAACACTGGTTGACAATCACTGGTTACGAAAAAACCTTGGTTCGGATATCGTGGAAGTGACTACAGAGTAAGAAACGGTGTCATTATCGCGCCATGACATGAGTGGTGTGTTTCTACAACGACAAGTCGCCGTCTTTCTAACGACAATATTACCATTTGCAACTGTATGTGTTTTGCACGAGAGAATTCTGTTCGTGGTTTTTTTCGGGAGAAGATTGTTAATTTGCAATTGTTTAACGGCAACTTTTTATCTGAAGGAAAAAGAAAACGGTGACCTACACGGGCCATTTTCCATCACCCATAGAATTATGATTAATCAGCAGCCTGATAGCAATTGCTAATCTCTTTAGTTATACAATGTTCATGCAAATTATAGTACCGTGGCTAGAAAACAGATCCCCAGATTATTTCCACTCCTGTTTTGCACGCAAGAAATGATTTTATAATATTTTTGTAGTTTTGTTTTGATGGCTCATTCTTAATGTCTTACTAAGAGGAATGTGTTTTGTATTTGCAGGCCTGTTCGTTTCTCTACCTGTTGATGCGAAGTAATTTTGAATTCAGTGGAGGACAAGGTTGTGATCGAGTCCACTGGCAGGTATAATCACATGATTAGAGAAATAGTAGAGATTTTTTACAACCAACATTATGCGAATGGCGAATAATAAAAATGGACTTAAGTTTTCCTGTCTTCATCTTAGCCTTTTGTGCACTAAGGCGTTAACATTTATATCCGTTGTGAATTGATAATTTTGTTTTCTTCTATTGAATTGGATTTTTTTAAGGATCTACGTGAAATTCGCTGTTCCTGTTTTCACTAAAAGTGGTTTTTATCTCTCTGTGGACTCGCACGATTACTATTTTGGGCCTGTGGTGGCAGACTACATCCGTTTTTTATGTGAAATTTTATCCTTTTGAAAGTCAGAAAAATCACGTCTTTTCGGTGCAATTCTGCTGAAGGATATTTTCCCGTAAATTAATCTATGAAGTGTCGAAAGGCTCCATGGAGTCGACATGAATGTGGAAAAAAAAAACGCTGCTGTCTCTTCGTTATGCTTGGTTTTTAAATCAGAATCCGCCCGTATTTGACAATCCAAGAAAATTTTTTTCAAGGCGCTAATCTAGTATTTGTGCTATTCCCTGCACCGTTGGTGGCGGAACTGTTAAACTTACTTAAAGTTTTCATTACGCGAAAACGTGATGCACCCTCAAATAAGGAATATAATTGTAAAGTTCTATTTTATAGTTTTGAATTTGTTATGACCCCTTTTCACTGTAAAGCTCGTCTGATCAATTTATCAAAAAAAAGGAAAATATTCCCAAATGTCAATGAATTATTTTAATTTGAAATTTCAACTAACCATCCTTTTATGCCTTGGAAAAATGAAAAATACAAATAAATGAATTGAGCACTTAATGAAAAACCTGCCTTGAAAATGAAATGTAGTACATCAGGTGTAAATGAAGTTCCTCTCGCCTTGCTTGTCCCTCAAGTTTGGCTTGTATTTCGCTTAACTCTGCCTTAAATATCTTGTGGATACCAAAATTTTTTTGTACCTTTCGCTAGAATCAGTTTTTCATATATCAGAAATTATTCATATCGCAGGCCACTTGCGGTTATAATTCAGTTGAGAATTAACATTTCTCCTTATCGCCAACACAGGTGATAACCAAATGGTAATTTTTTACTGTCATACTTTCACAATTGCCTTGTTCAAGGGATTAAAATTTGTTTTTCATATTTTAATCCTTACGCGTATGTGATCTTGTACACGGATATATTTTGAATAGGAGTCCAAATCCCTTCCTTTATATTAGTAGCTTTTCCTGGTAATTTCGTTCAATGAATTTTACCGCAATCAATTTCTAATTACCAATACTTCATCCTCAAAGTCGCTCAGTTTCAAATCACATAAATGACAGTTTTTAAATAAAAAAAATTGTTTTATATGCAGTCTACGGTTCTAAAATATATTTGTACTGTGGATTAACAGAGCATGGTAGTTTGAAGCCGAAAGTGTCGAAATTAGGTAATCAGAACCAACACAAATGCCTAGAGAACGATAATTTGCAAACTAAAACTCCTTTCGACAAAAAGGTACGTGTGTAATTATCATCTTTGGTCGCTTCATGGCTCAATCTCTTTTTGAATAGAACTGATGGCATATCCTCCAGAAGTCGGTAAAATGAGTTGCTAGGTAAGCGAAGGGAGGAATACGACTAGCGATGCGTTTAAGTATCTTGCTCATCCATCCGTGTGTTGGTTCTCATTCGTATGAGCGTTCATTTCGCTAACACAACATGAATGTTATTTTTCTCCAGAGCAGTTCTGGTTGTGTTGGGGTGTAACACCCAGTTGAATTAACCCTAGACTGAAGTAGACAGGAACGCATTAGCGCTAGATGTTGTAAAGAAAATATCAGTCACATTTAGAGTTAACATTTTTTTCCGAAAATTTTCCTGTATCTTGGCGTGTTTCGTCTTTGTTGTTTCTGTTATTCGCTCGGTCTTTAAACACTCCCATAAAATTTTTTTCCGAACTTGAATCTTAGTGTGGCTGCATTTCCTATATTTTGTGGAATAATCATCGAATCGTAGACAAAATATGTCTAGAGACGTAATGACACTTGGTTTCATGATTCTTCATTTGCATGCACTAAGGTACAATCAATCTATCCTAGAGAATCATAAGTCGCGGTCTTGTCGAACATGGACGACACCAAGCTAAGATCAAATATTTCACGATCATTTAATATCAGCTGGACAATGTTTTTTCGCAGTTTTTGACATAGACCAAGGCTACATTTACTTTTCCGATTGTAGTGTACCAATGAGTTATTTAAATAATTAAAGTTGTTTTTCATCTTTTCGTTTTTCGCTAGGTAATCGTAGCGGTCTCCAAGTTGATGGCGATCGGGTTAAACCGTTCAGCTGTAAACAACTCTCTTCTGGCGCTAAAGAATTATGCTGTAGAAGACAAAGGAATGAAGGTGACTTTTTCTTGTTTTTTTTTTTTTTTTTTTTTTTTTTTAACTTGAGTCTTGTTGGACTGTAAACGTAAATAAAGGAATCAATTATTCAATCAGTCAATGAAATTGCGTCAGTCCGACTTTCAGCCAAGCAGAAAGTCTTTCATGGATTTATCTTACACAGTTGAGACGGCGAAATACTGCACTTGGCTCGTTTTCTTTGGTTCGTTTTTCCCCTTGTTTTTTTTTTTTGTTATTTTTTTAATAGACCTCGAAATCGTTTCGGTCTGAAAGCCCGCGGTAGAGGGTCAATTATCCAATTGTGCAGGCTGTTCAGAGCTGGGTTAAGATAACTCAGGGTTAGTGTGAAATCTGAAATCAGATCTGAAAGCTTTAAAAGAAATTCAGTATAGTCCTTTTTTTTTCTACAATTTGAGGATTGACTTTTTAAAAAGAATAGAGAAAATTATCTAAAAAAGGCTATCGAAAAGAAAAGGAATAAAGAAACCTGGCTGAAAAAAAATGTAATCCTGGGTTATTGGCCTTCGAGCAACTGGGCCCTTGTTTTGTTCGGCAAACGCAGTCTCTTTTTATAGAGGAATTGGTTGAATTGGTTGCCAACTCAGATGTGAGGGAACATGTACTGAGTACAAATGCTTTTATCGAGTTTGATCAGTCTTTTCGCAAGTTTTATTACGGTAAATTTGGTGATCGGCCGCGGTTGTTAGTTAATCTACCTGTTCTCACACTCTGAGTCTTGATGGATAACACTTTGTACTGTTTTGTCGAAATTGTGTCATTTTTTCTATCTGCTTGTCATTCCTTTAAAAGCATACGGATTTTCCCGCTGAGGTGAAAGATCTAACGAAGAAGATTCACACCGTTTTGCAGGCGACTGCACAAATGAAGGTATGCGTGCTTAAATTATAGTTGCTCAGCATGTAGGTTTGGTTTTGTTTACCTAGTCTCCCTAAAGGTCTAGGCACAAGGTAAGCCTTTTTTGTTACATTTTTTTAGGGTGTTCTGACCGTTAATCTGTAAGGACAACGCTCGCGCCTTTTAATAGGAATCTAGTGAGATTTGGCCGATGGGGTTGACTTTCCATGAAGAGAGTTGGGTCATTATATTTCTCACAAACATTTTGATGCCGAAGAAGGATAGTAAATATACCCAAAGTGTAGACGATTTGTTTACTATTGTAACTACGGTTAAAAAGAATTGCCCTTGAGAACAATTTCAGTTAAGTTCAGGTTGGGTAAATACCCGGGATTGCAGTGGTTTTGTTTTATTTTGCGCTGTTACGGTTCAAGAAAACTTGCGCCACTTTCTCAGTCGTGAGGCACTGAGGTTTTAGTCGTTTGTGTCTTTCTTTCCAGACGGAATTGTCGTGAAAGAATGTCAGGTGTTATCAAGAGCGAATTTGATGCTATTTGCATCTGATTTAATTCTTGACTGGCAGAACGTTTGTAATATGTATTTTGATTTGCAAAGGCGAACCTTTCGTTGATTTATCGTAGCCCTCGGGGGTTATCACTTTTTTTCCAATGAGCACGCCACTCTGATCATTTTAAGTGCTGTCACGTTTCATTTTTTTCACGAAGGAGCTTCATTATGGAGAAACAAAACGTACTAAATGCCTGTAATACGTTTTGAGCGACAATGTAGTAGTTCAGGTTAAATTTGGTGTCTCTCGCCTTTTGGAACGTGTAATAGAATTAGACATTATTCCATTTGGGTTGAATAAGCAAGAAATCAAATCACTTAATTTCATTCGGTTCTTAGAGACCGAAAGCCATGGGCGAGAAAGTAAGTTAGTGACGCTCCTAACCGTTTATTTTAGCCAGCCAAAATATTTTTGATCGTGTATAATTTTAACACGCACTATTATTTTTTTGTTGCGTGTCTGATCAGTTATTCAGACCATTAGCAAGTTCCAGCGAATGCACGGTACTATTAAACGAACTATAGTGTTTATCACTGAGTCAGACGATCGCGAGCAGTGGCCCTGATTTATATGGATAAATCAGTTGGCGACACAGCACATCAGGAAATTAAAGATCGCTTTCGATTTGTTGGATACACTTGACCTTTGCACGTGATAGAACTATGTTTACAAAGACAGGAAATTCGTTTCATCGATAAAATATCCTTGACGAAGGGCGTTTAGTATTTGCGAAGACCAAGTTTTCGCCATTGCGAACTTTACTGACAGTTTTGCTTGCCATACAGAACTATTATCGTGATTCCTTTGGATTTTTTTTCAAATCCTAACCGCCTTCTGTAACGGTTCGAAGCGCTACTGTGAGCAAATAGATGGCTTTGCGAGCATTCTCCGACGAGGAAGTAAAACACGAGCCATATTTGAAAAATAGAAAGTTGTGCGTGAAGAAAAAAGAAAGTTTACATGCCATTGAGGAGTTCGCCGCACAGCAGTTGGTTTTCCTCCCTATTTTGAGCTCTCCCACACCTCTGAGCGCAGCGACGATTAACCGAAAATTCTTTTTGGTACATTTCGTGTTCTGTGTAGTGTCGTTTCAGTGGATATAGTTTTTCTATATATACATTTTAGATCAATTTTGTTTAACCTACTCTGAACAAGTTTAAATTGAAGAGGAAAAAACTACAGAATTGAAAACAGCTCGACATTCTCTAGAGTTTGAGTGCTTTTATTTCCCAAATATTGTCGGCGCTTGCATGTCAGCATATCGCCCGCCTGGAGCAATAGCACACCTTGTTGATGATATTTGTGTGATTTCCTGTCTGTACAACATTAGTAACTTTTTTTCTGAGGGAAATAGAGTTGGTTTGAACAGCCTTACTGGTGGCTTCCTTACTTGTAGATCTTTGCCATATTTCGCACGTAATTGATTATAATTTCACTTCGTTTTGTAGGAACACGATGACATCCCAGAAGTCCTTGTTGACCTTCAATACAGTTTGGCCAAGTCTTACTCCAGCACGCCAGAATTGAGAGAGACCTGGTTAGAGCACATGGCAGGCGTGCATGAGAGTCATGAAAATTACTCAGAGGTTTGTTTTGCGTGCGTGACGTAGCGTGAAATATGCCCACGTTTTGCGTGATCTGATGGATTATCAGACGAGTGATAATGCGTGAGTGTGCTTGAAATTTTCGTAAATAAAGTCGGAAACTGAGTAGAAGGGGATGTTTATCTAGTCATCAACGGCTCCTTTGAAGACTTCTTAGCCCAGAGGCTTGAAACGCCCTGTTTTCAATCGGCCCAACTGTTGAAAAACGAGTCTTTTTTAACCTGAAAATTCAAACACAACGAGCCGTGATCGATTTAGATTGCGTTGTATTTAGTTCTTTATGAAGGCAATAGAGTGTAACCATGCCATGATATGATTTTTTTTTTAGACTGCCCACTGTTACATTCACGCAGCAGCGCTGGTCGCTGAATATTTAAAACGACAAGGTGAGCTGTAAGGCCGTGATTTAAACATAAACAATCGATTAATCGTAAAAATGGTGTGGCTTTTCGATGTTTCTCGGCTGGCGGCTTTTGAATAAAGATTCTCTATTAAATCACACTGGAACGTAATGAGATTCAGATATGGTTTCAAACGTCTCCCATACCAAGGCAGACACTTAATGACATCCATTTATCATTTGCCTTTTTCAGTTTTTCTCTCTTTCCGTGGAGAGAGTCAAAGTGTATATGGTTGTGAACAGTTGTCGCAAAAAAGGAATTTATGACGGTGGAAATGGCAAGCTGCGACATAATTCGAATGCAAAGTGGGAAATTTTACAGACAATATCTTTAGTGAATTTCATATCTCCTTCTCTCTTCGTGTTTATCTCAGGTGTTTATCACGAAGGTTGCGCGGCGTTTTCCAACGTGTCACCCAATGTGGTAGCGGACGAAAGTGTAATGAAAACTGACGAAGGGATGACTAAGGAGCAGAAGTACACAAAGGTAGGCTTTTTTTTTTCATCGATATCTTCGTAAATTTGAGATATTTCTTTGCTCAGGTCAAATGATGTTACTGACCTAGGTGAATGAATATTCCTCTTCGTATGAGTGGGCCACTCTTGAACCTCCCGACTCATCAATTATTGAAGTGACCAGGGGTGAGTCAGCCGCATAAAACAAAAAGCTGTTTCTGGTGGATTTTCCTGTCGGTCGTTAACTATTAAAAATCACGTGGAAACTATTTAGAAATCGAGATAAGCTATAGTCTGTTGAAAGCTAGATACACTGTAATCTAAAATCAGGCTTCATGCTCCTCAAGAATATTGACCCACGAATTTTAAGATTTTATTTCTTCTAAAGTGGATGGTTTGCGGTCTAGGTTTCTAGTGATATGGGGTGAGAGCTCTGTACAGATTAAGGTAATGATCCTGAAACCTCACTAGAGCGAATAAACTGTTCCCACCGCTGTAGCTGTGACTTTCTCGCTGTTCACAATGTTCTCACTTAAATGGAGCTGGCAGGATCAAATTTTCCTTATTTACAGCCATCCATATTTAACTTCTTCTTGTAATTGTGTTTGTAATGTGAAGTGGTTTTGAGGAGTTCACTCTAACTGATGTTCTTTCATTAGCGGCACTTGGTGGATTTGTTGGAGCAATGTGCGAAATTTCTTGAACGCGCTGAAAGATATGAAGTCATGGGCGAGGTGTTCAAATTGGCTATACCAATATACGAGCAGGAGAGAGACTTCCTGGTGAGTGACTTAAGGAGGGCCTTTGACTGCTTCTTTTTAAGCAAAAACGTCCACAAAAACTGAAAAGAGGAATAACTGACCGCCTTACCTTAGTACCAGGATGATCTAAATCACAAGCATGCATCTGAACAAGGCGATTGAAAACTTCTCATACCAAACTACGAAGGACTCTAATTATTCTTTTTTTTTCTCCCAAACCTCAGAGGCTTTCCAATGCTTACGACAGCTTAGCTAAAGCTTACAAGAAGGTAGTGGAAGTAATGAAATCCGGCCGAAGGCTTCTTGGAAAATACTTCAGAGTTGCTTTCTTCGGACAGGTAAATGGTGCAATTTTCAGCTTATTTAAATAGATCCCGTAATTTGTTTGGAGAAAAATAGGTTATTGCTGCGCATAAAGTTCTGGTAACTAGTAGCTTTTCTAGACGTGATGCTTGCCGAAAGTGAAATGTGCGTTCAATACGGTGAGTTGTCGGCTCTAAGCCATTCGCTCTACGCTTTCCACTCGCACATTATGCTTCAATATTAGAGGACACAGAACTGAGGTCATTCCAACGCTCGTTGAGAAATTAAGAGCGCTGGAAACCGACAAAGTCAAGACTAACTAAACGTCTTTCCCTTTGTTTTTCAGATGTTCGGCGACGACGATGGCAAGGAATTCATTTATAAAGAACCTAAAATCACAGGGTTAGCGGAGATTTCTCAACGATTGGAAGCCATGTACTCTAGAAAACACGGCAGAGACAGTGTTAAACTCATCATGGAGTCTGCAAAGGTAACTGATGCAAATGATTATTATTGAATTATTTAACAATATTTATTCGTGGGTGGTTGCTCGCACCAAGCCCGGCTGTGCCACTTCTTCAATTTCCCTCACATTCTGTTGGCCGTGATATTAATTTCATCAGACTGCAATCCTTGCTTTTATAGTTGCTTTTGCCAGTGTCAACGCTATTTCTACGTTTTTCTCCAGAACTGTCTTAGTTTTTCAGTCAATATCAAAAATTAACCAGTGATTTTACCTCCTAGGTTCATCGTGAAACGTTAGATTCAAAACTGGGCCACATTCAGGTATTATTTTTGTGTAAAAGAGAGTGTTTTGGAAAAGATAGGCTGTATTCTCAAGCGTTAGAACCGTTGATTTATACCACTTTTCATACGCAAAAACCGTAACAAGACTTTGAGCATTTATTTCTCTTATCGCCACATGGTCTTACAAGTCTCAGGTCTCTAGAATGTGAGTTCGCGATACGCTTAAGCGGTACCCTTGATACTTATTGTAACAAATCACCAAAGGCGATTTTCACATTAAATTGATAATTTCTTACCAGGCTGCACTGCTCCTTGGCAGTCCATCAAACCAAATGTTTGTCTTTTAGAGATAGCAAAGTTTAGAGGAATCTATGTTTTTCTTGTTGTTGTTGTTGTTGTTGTTTTTTGTGTCTTTTTCAATTTCAGGCCTAAAGTTGCATGGAAATCTTCTTAGTTGAAATTGATTTCAGCTCGATTCCTAGTCGAGATCCTGAGATTTCGTTTCGTTTCGTTAAAAACATTTTACCGGTGTTAATGATGTATTCACTGCTATAAATATATTTTTAATATGCTAATGGCTTTATCCCAGCCCGCTTGCATTAAAAAAATGTTTTTGGAAGTTTTGACTTTCGAAAGCCGCTTCGCAGTGGAAATGAGGTTGAAAATGCATCAAGAGATGATCTTTCTTGAAGTTATCTAAAGAAATTTCTTCAAGGTTTATCAGTATTTTTTGTGTGGTCCTTGAAACCATTCCCTGCAGATTACCTATGTGCAGCCCTATTTTGATGACGAAGAACTTGAACTAAGGCCGACCATATTTGAACGAAACAATAACATCAGACGGTTTATATACGAGACGCCGTTTACGGTCAGCGGTAAAGCTCACGGAAACCTTAAAGAGCAGTGCAAGAGGAAGACCATCTTAACAAGTAAGTTTGGAACGAAATTTTTGTCTCTTTATCGTAAGAAACACTGAACTTTAACGTCATTTTTCAAGTAGGGGATTACCCTAGATCATTGTTCTAAACGTTGCTGAAAGTGCTCCTCGCTTCAAAGATTTTTAAGGTGGACGTAACGAGTTCCTTCAAATGTACTTATTTATGTTTTAGCGTCCAATACTTTTCCTTATGTGAAGAAGCGAATCCTTGTTGTTCAAGAGGAACAGTATGAACTGACTCCAGTTGAGGTAAGGTAGTCTTCTATCGCAAAAAAAACTGCTTTAATCGTTGTTTTGCAAGTAACCTGCGTCTAGAGACTGATCTTTAGGATGAATGTAGATTTATAATGGTTGCTCTTGACCTATGTTTTTCCGTTTTTTGTTTTGGTTTTTTTATTTGTTTTTCTCTTGTTTGTTGTTGTTTTTGTTTTTTATTTTTTGTTAGTTCATAGATTTAAGTGAAGCTTGTTTTCAAATATTCCGTATTCCTTAAATGTCAGGTGGCGTTCGATGAGATGCAAAACAAAGTTAAAGAACTCAATAACGTGATTGCACAGAATCCTCCGGACATGAAGAAACTTCAGCTAGTCTTACAAGGCAGTATTAGTGTTCAGGTATGAAACTATCACGCAGTATACAACGTCTTCATTTAAGTTAGCACAGGACAGCTAAGCTTTAGGCAAGGTTTCCTTGTGCTTTGGTGAAATCGTTAAGGGTCTTATTATTGAAAATGTAATTATTTTATTTTTTTTACAGGTGAATGCAGGTCCCCTGGCGTACGCTCATGCTTTTCTTGACAAGTCTGTTTTGGCCTCACATCCTCATAAACACATTGAGATGCTTCAGCAAGTTTACAGGGAGTTTATCGGTTGTTGTGGAAAAGCTTTGGAACAAAATGATCAGTTGATCAAGGAAGATCAACGAATGTATCAAGAAGACATGAAAGAAAAGTACGCTCAGCTGAGGACACAGTTGGCCAAGTATATTGGAGATGAGGTGTGTTAGCTGGCAAATTTCTTGATTTTTAAGTTGAGTCGTAATTTTTTCCTTCTGAAATTTTCCTTTTGGTTTTGATGGTACGACCGCTCCATTGGAAGCCCTCGAAACACTGAGTGGGGAATGTCCATTATAATCATATTTGTAAGTTACTTAAAACGCATTGCACAGTTCTGAATTCTCTCGTAATTTGTGGTTTTAACATTCGTTTGGTCTCCAACGCCGTTTTTCTTCTTTTCGTCTGCTGCTCGGTCATTTAGTGAGCCAGTCGTATAAGCCTGTCAGCCTGCTTGTAAGTTAGCGAGTCAGCTTTTCGGACAGTTAGAAAATCTGTCAGCCTTCTAGGCAGTCGAGGTCAAATCCTATTATCCAGTTCATGAACCAGTCAACCTAGCAGAAAATCACTCAGTAAGCCGTCGGTCTCCCAGACAGTCACATAGCCGGTCAGTCAGCTTGTCAGTCAGTCAAAGTCAAAGTCCCGTTATCCAAATGATGGGCCAGTCAGCCAGACTGTCCTCTAGCTGGTGGCAAAGCCAGCCAGCTGGCTAGGCAGTCAGGGAGGGAATCAGCTCGCCACTTAGCTGATCAATTTGGAATCAGTTATCAGACGTCCTTTTATTGTTTATGTTAGGTGATCACAACAGTAACCTCGTCCAGCAGCTTGTCTTCACTTGGATGAGAGGTGGGCCAATGAGACTGAGAAGCAATTCTTGTTACGTGAACACGTTGGCTTGGTCGACTTAATAGCGGAGAAGGATGCATTTCCAGGTTGTAGAAGAAACCACATTAGTATCACGCTCCTCGCAAATGTTTGATGTCGTTCATTTGAACCGTTTTGCTGCGGTTATAAATTATTTATGTTACGCCTTAAGATTCCACAAAAGAGGGATTTAGAAGAAACTTGATTTGAAAAGTTATATTTGATTGATAGTCAAGAGAGTTGTTGTAAGAAATGACTTGAAAAATAAAGTAGGAAAAACTCTTTTTATAATTTCACCCTAAGAACTGAAAAGGTAAATAGTGTTTGTGAAAAGGAAAGATAGTTCATTACTTTAGTGGAAGCTTAAGTCTTTACAGCGAGGCACGGCAAGAAATTCACAAATGAAGAAAAAAAATTCGAATTGTTTGCCATTAAAATATTCTGGTTTCATTACCAAAATTTTGTGGACCCTATAGTTAAGCTCGTTCGTTTCCAATGAGTTCTGCTACAGGAAGTATCATAATGTTAACCATAGTTTAAGAACAAAGCAGATGTTAACATAGAATTAAGGATACTTAATGATACATTTTTTGCCTTCTTTAAATCCAAAATGAACATTATTGAGAATATTTTATGAATTAATATTCACTGAAAAAATTTTTAGTTGTTAGAATTATTTTTAAGGTTATTTTCGTATTTTTCTTACCCACGATAGGCCTATAATTTCCGTTATCTTTCTGTTTTGCTTTGTTTTGTATATGTATGTGTGTTGTTGTAGTTGTTGTTTGTTTGTTGTCTGTCTTGTTTTCGAAGGGCCGGGGGGGGTGAAGAAGAGGGTGGGTTAAGAAATCGAAAAGAAAGTCGAAAAAGAGAGCAAATAGGTTATCCGCTCAAAACAAGTACAGTCGAACCTTGATTATCCAGATCTCAATAATCCGGATTTCTCGATTATCCGGACTTTTTCTCTGGTCCCAATTTTGTCATGAATATTTACTAGTCATGATCGAGATCCGTCGCCATAATCTTTTTAAAAGTACAGCGTTGAAAAGCGAGGTAAAAGCGAGTTTGTTTCGCTTTGAAGAGGCAAAAGCAGCACCTGCATGTGTCGTAACTAAAGAAGAACATTCGAATGGGGTCTGATTAGCTTTTATATTCATATTCTCGATAATCCGGACCCTTTCGTCTAGTCTCAACGAGTCCGGATAATCGAGGTTCGACTGTACAACTATAATATTATGCATAGTGAATTACTTTCTAAATATGAACTTGACTTTTACTTAAGAGTTTCATGTAATAAGAGATAGAAGCATTTAGTTTTTTATAAGAATTCAATTGATAGAACTTGGAAATGAAATAAGTTTATACAATAGATGAAAGTTCATTAAGGACAGCAAGAAAGTAGTTTTGAATTGTTTTCAAAATTTTTTTAATGTTCTCTTGTTTATTATATCTGGTCTCAATACTGAATCTTTCCTGTCCATTTTGTAGAGTCGTTTTGTAAACATTTGCCCTCTCACTTACAACCTCGTCTGAAACAGATTCTTGTCACTAGTAACCTCTGGCAGATAGGAAATATCGGTGTACATTTCTTTGAGATGGAAAGTTGTACGACAATAAAATATTACGTCGATGTCTGGGCAATCATGTTTTACTTTTATTATGACCTTGCTGAGCTACCCGAGACATCGTGGGTGAATGTCAATTAGACGATTTGTAATTGAATCACCTCCTCTTGTGGAACAGGGTACGCATAAATATGTGGGATGCGGCAGGTTTTCTGTTGTACATGTGAGACAACTATTCTGCAGCACTACCCTCTAGCGTCATTCTTTCCAATGCTATAATAATTGTGTTATATCAGAAGCCACATGCAGTCTTTGTCTATTTTTTCAAAATGATAACGTTGTCTTTGGTCCATGCACTCAAGATGGTTTAGAACAAAAAAACAAAGAATAACCTTACCTGCTAAGTTTGTATATTTGTCCTGAATGGTTTCAATTTCCTGTCTATTTTGTTTTAGTGTGTGTGTGTGTGTGTGTTAAATATTCCTCATGAAGGGTTTTTAATTAAAACCTTAGCGGTGCAGCTCAAAATGATGACATTGATTACTGCCGACTTCAGTTCAAATTTTGTGTCAACTACACTTTACTTCCTTTTTCTGTTCATTAACTGAATTGAATTCAATGAATCAGATCTTCAATTTTTTATTGTTACAACGTATGTTAAATGATAAAATTACAATTATAGTTAATCTCTAATATCGTAAGGGTTTCCTGTATTGGTGTCGGAAAGAAAAGGAATGGAAATATTATATTATTTTAAGTCATTTAATGTAAGTTATAGAAGGGGCAGGTTAACTACTTCGTATTCCTTCTTGGTGTTCTTATCTTAGAGGTTGAGTTTGATTACGTTCTTCTCGTGAGTTTGGCCACGTTCTCCTAGTGAGTTTAATCACGTTTTCTTCGTTGTGATCGTGAGATTGACATGGAACTCGTGATAAGCCATGTTCTTAAATAAGTTAATTTGTTAGTCCAGGAAGAGTAAATATCCCTGGTAATAGGTCGCGTTCGACACCTTTGTCTTCCCAGAGGTAATTTAAGGGTAAACATGTGATACCCCTCATGTTTCGCAACCAAAAGCAATTTGGGGGCGGTACTTGTAAGCGCCTTTCTTCTTTAACTCTTGTGACCAAGATGTTGTTATGTAACAATCTTTAAAGGTGATTTTCTCTCAAGATACCCTTTCAGGTATAAATAATACTCTGAACCAAGGTTATCTGTAATTTTTATATTGTCGATCTCGTTTCTGTTCTGGCTGATCTCAACCGTAAAGATATGAAAATTAAGGTAGAAATTTATTTTGTAACTGCTTAAACAACCCTAAGGTGCATACTCAGTGTGTGGGAATTCGTAGTCAAGCGTGATTTGCTAGTTATGATGGTACGATGACGACACAAGAAGATTAGAAATGTCATCCGCAGTGTCACCTTTATAAGCGGAGACTCTAGTTTTCCCTGTTATATTGGAGTTTCCTGATGAGGTACTGACTTGGTTCTGGTGGGGTAAGTCGTGTCTGAACTCCCTTTATTTAAGCTGAAGGCAGTATTCCTGGGCACTTTAAATCCCTATATGCTGTATTTGCCTGAGTTCATCGAGCCCTCCCTCAAACCGTCAGACCTCTGCGACAGGCTTGTGGGTTTTCTACCATAGTATTACTTACTGATAATTTAACGTTCTCTTTTAACTCAGAAAGTAAGCGTAGAATGTTTCTTAATGCAGGCAAAAGCTTTCCATTTTGGCTTCAGCTGCATCGAAGAGACAGTGACTGTGGTGCTTGAAACCACAATATTTACCTTGGCAAGGGTTCTTTCACTATTTGGTTATCTCAGTGTCTGTTATAACGCAAACCCTTGGATGGCTTAGAATTCAACCCAGGCGAATTTTGTTGAGGCGTGTCTGTCTGTTTTAGATATTTCTTCGCGAGAAGGATTTTAATCAATAAACCCAGTGGTATAGCTAGAGATAAAATTGATATTTAAGAGCTAATGTCAGCATACATTAAACAAACAGCGGCAAGTCACCCAAATTGGTTTTGCCCCCTACTTTTATATTTTGTAGTGACTTATGCCAATTAGCGGTGGCGACAAGTAGGCGCACCATGTACATTTCATAGTCGCTATCAAGTAAATTTACCGGAGTTTGAGTTCGTCTCAAGAAAGAACAACAAAAATACACAAGGAAATTTTTACAGTAACTTTATAACCAACCTTTGGTGTTTTAAAAGCTTGAAGCTCAGTAGAAACCCTTGAATGGCTTAGAATTCAACTCAGGCGAATTTTGTTGAGGCGTGTCTGTCTGTTTTAGATATTTCTTCGCGAGAAGGATTTTAATCAATAAACCCAGTGGTATAGCTAGAGATAAAATTGATATTTAAGAGCTAATGTCAGCATACATTAAACAAACAGCGGTAAGTCACCCAAATTGGTTTTCCCCCCTACTTTTATATTTTGTAATGACTTATGCCAATTAACGGTGGCGACAAGTAGGCGCACCATGTACATTTCATAGTCGCTATCAAGTAAATTTTACCGGACTTTGAGTTCGTCTCAAGAAAGAACAAAACAAATACACAAGGAAATTTTTACAGTAACTTTATAACCATCCTTTGGTGTTTTAAAAGCTAAGCTCATCCTTTTTGTTTTTTTTTTCGAATAGGAAAAGTTGTCGGACTATTCACCAAAAAAATAAATTTTCTTTCCATATCAACGTCATTTAAGTTTAGATGATAAAACTGTCTTTGTTTTGATGTAATATTCACGGTGAAAATTTGCATATTTGAGCGGTCGAACGAAAAAAGTCATTTCTCGAAAACTAAAATATATTTAATATATTATAATATAAAAGTAGGAGAGAAAACGAATTTTGGGCGACTTGCTACAATATTTCAAATTTGTTCGATGGATGCTGACATCCTCTCTTAATAACATCTCCATTTATTGACTTACATGTTCCATTCCAGGTTGATTTAAACTGCACTCTAATACAATTTATTTTTATTAATTCATTCTACCCTTAGGCTTTTGACTTCAGTGAATCAGCTCCTAAACTGTCATGCCACAATACGATTGTTTGATGGAAATGAACTCTGATGAGCTTTTTTCATTCTAAGGTCCGTTCATTTAATCTTCATACAAAATTTGTTATTATTTCTGAAGTCTAAGGTGAATTTCTGAGGTTTGTTCTTTATTGCGCTAACTAGGACTGAGTACACTAGACCCTCCAGCGAATTACGTCCCGCGCTAAAGGCTGCTAGGTTCTCTGCCACAAAAGTAACGAGGGATAACTCTGGTAACAAAAGGAATGTCTCTCGGTAAAGAAGGAACACTGCCGATTTGGCACGAGTTGCAAGAAAGAAAAACAGTGACTGTGGTGTGTGAAACTGCTATATTTGCTTTGGTAATGGTTCTTTCTCTAGTTGGGAATCTCATGGTCTGCTATGCCGTACGAAGACAGCCAAGACTTCGTCGCCCAAACAACTATTTCATTATATCTTTGGCCTTGACTGATATTTCGCAAGCTTTGTTTACAATGCCGCTGTCAGTTGTCTTGTTGGCCACTGGAAAATGGCCTTTCGGAACTTTTCTGATTCGTTTTGCAGCAATTTCCATGATATCACTGACGTACATCTCGACGTTTACCATGGCACTGATGGCCTTAAACAGGTATTACAAGATAGTGAAGCCAGCGAAATACCAAACTCTTTTTACAAAGAAGTTCATCATCTCATCAGCTTCGGCGGTGTGGGCCGTAGTCATTGTTAATGCTGTTGTTTCTCTATTTGCACTCGGTTTTCCCTCCTTCGTGCACCCAGCTTTTGCAATTCCTGTGACATGGTTTCCAATGCCAATATCACGATCGATCTTAGTATTTATCTCGTATTTGCCGTATCCTGTTATCGTTTTCTGTTACTGGAAAATACACAGGGCCGTCAAGATGCACAATGCAAATGTTTCGTGGCAGAGTGCAAATGTAGAAGATGTAAGAGTCAGCAAAGTCCTTTTTGTCACCGTTGCCGCCTTTCTGGGCCTGTGGTTGCCGGCTCAAACTCTGATTGTTGTTTCCTTTCGTGTAACGATACCACGCCAGCTCGCACTTTTCGCGACTCTTCTCATTTTCTCATCCAGCTTCATAAATCCTTTCATATATAGTTTTATGAGCCGCACGTTTAGGGATGAATTAAAAAAATGCTTTGTCCTGAGGAAGAAGCAGTCAGTAGGTACAGAATCCTGTCAGAGAGAAGCAGCTCCAGTTTAAGGTGCGCTTTAAAGATAGTTCCAATTTTAAATCACGCCATAAAACTGATACCTCGCTTTTGTAAAATATAAGGAGCCTGTGGCTCGCATAAGCCTCTTAGTTTCCCTTCGAGTTTGTTAAAAGACAAAATTTTCATTATGGGTGATTTTTGACTTATTTGAACGTGAAAATAAATGGAAATAATATATTAGCATAAGCTATTCAGTGAACATTGTAATAAGCCAGTTGATCATTTCTTAGTCCTTTTGGCGGTCTTATCTTACAGGTAGAGTTTGGTCACCTTTTTCCTTATTATGGCCGTGAATTTGACATGGAGACAGAAAATGTAAACTGCGGTTTGCCGCTAGATATCAGTATATTTCCAATATGTTGCTGAAAGATGATTAATTACTAAGAAAATGACTCTATCTCATAAAAATTGATCCCGTGCAGGAATTTCCTGGCAATAACCCTCCTTTGTGCTTTTACCTCCTTAATACTCTCGTTTTTAGGCTAAATCCATGTTGAGTTCCCGATCAGATAAATAGTTTTTAATTTTTAATTTAGCACGTTCGACACCTATTTTTCTCAGAGGTGACTTAAAGTGCAAGCATGTAGTACTTTTCATCTTCTGCACTGAATTTGTAATCAGATAACTTATACGACTAGCACGTAGCTCTTTTAGGGGCGGTACCTTGGGTACGCCCTTTCTTTTCCCAATTTTGGTTTATTCTGCTGTTATGCAACAGCCTTCAAGGACTATTTCCTCTTAAGATATCTTTTCAAGTATGATTTCAATTCTGTTAGTAAGTTTATTATAATTTTTATTGCATCTCAACGACAAAAGTCCTTTTATGTACGAAATTTAAAGGCTTTCTTTTGGCTAGTAAGTTGATCAAAACGCGAATCAATTTTGTTGCTTAGAGATAACCCTTAACGTATAAAAGTCAGATGATGACTAAGCCAATGTGGGACTATATGAATTATTACAAATCTATCGACACCATGATGTCTTGGAAAAAAAATTATATATAAGGCTGATGTAAGTACTAAACTTTTTCAAATAGGAATGTGGATGTATTTACTGTAATTGTCATCAACTGAGTACATGTATTTGAAATTTTTAGAGATAGAGAACTCTCCCTAGTAAGAAGTGACTCGTGCGTCCACATCTCGGTTTTATGAAACGATTCACCGCAAGACACAAGTATATCTCGAGTTAATATCCTCTGCGAGCTCTTTTGTGAACCGAGTTATCGAAAACAGCTTACGCTTTCGTTCAAAATCGAGAAAAAACCTAATTTCGGGAAATAACTTTAAAGGCCATTGTATTCGACGAAAAAGTACACAAAAATAAAAGAACTTGATTAAAGCTATGACGTTTTTTGGAACAACAACACAAGAGGGGCCACTATTTTAACAACTTTTTAATTCAATTTTGTCTCACCCAAGAATTGGAAAGAGTTTTATATATTTATTTTAACTCTGGAATTGGTTTCTTAATTTTGTCATGAATATTTATTAGTCATGATCGAGATCCGTCGTCATAGTCTTTTTAAAAGTACAGCGTTGAAAAGCGAGGTAAAGGCGAGTTTGTTTCGCTTTGAAAAGGCAAAAGCAGCACCTGCATGTGTCGTAACTAATGAAGAACATTCGAATGAGGTCTGATTAGCTTTTATATTCATATTCTCGATAATCCAGGCTCTTTCGTCTAGTCTCAACGAGTCCGGATAATCGAGGTTCGACTGTACAACTATAATATTATGCATAGTGAATTACTTTCTAAATATGAACTTGACTTTTACTTAAGAGTTTCATGTAATAAGAGATAGAAGCATTTAGTTTTTTATAAGAATTCAATTGATAGAACTTGGAAATGAAATAAGTTTATACAATAGATGAAAGTTCATTAAGGACAGCAAGAAAGTAGTTTTGAATTGTTTTCGAAATTTTTTTAATGTTCTCTTGTTTATTATATCTGGTCTCAATACTGAATCTTTCCTGTCCTTTTTTTTAGAGTCGTTTTGTAAACATTTGCCTTCTCACTTACAACCTCGACTGAAACAGATTCTTGTCATTTGTAGCCTCTTATAGATAGGAAAAATCGATGTACATTTCTTTGAGATGGAAAGTTGTACGACAATAAAATATTACGTCGATGTCTGGGCAATTATGTTTTACTTTTATTATGACATTACTGAGCTACCCGAGACAACGTGGGTGAATGTCAATTAGACGATTTATAATTGAATCACCTCCTCTTGTGGAACAGGGTGCGCATAAATATGTGGGATGCGGCAGGTTTTCTGTTGTACATGTGAGACAACTATTCCGTAGCACTACCCTCTAGCGTCATTCTTTCCAATGCTATAATAATTGTGCTATATCAGAAGCCACATGCAGTCTTTGTCTATTTTTTTCAAAATGATAACGTTGTCTTTGGTCCATGCACTCAAGATGGTTTCGAACAAAAAAACAAGGAATAACCTTACCTGCTAAGTTTGTATATTTGTCCTGAATGGTTTCAATTTCCTGTCTATTTTGTTTTAGTGTGTGTGTGTGTATGTTTTAGATATTCCTCATGAAGGGTTTTTAATTAAAACCTTAGCGGTGCAGCTCAAAATGATGACATTGATTACTGCCGACTTCAGTTCAAATTTTGTGTCAACTACACTTTACTTCCTTTTTCAGTTCATGAACTGAATTGAATTCAATGAACCAGATCTTCAATTTTTTATTGTTACAACGTATGTTAAATGATAAAATTACAATTAATCTCTAATATCGTAAGGGTTTCCTGTATTGGTGTCGGAAAGAAAAGGAATGTAAATATTATATTATTTTAAGTCATTTAATGTAAGTTATAAAAAGGGCAGGTTGACTACTTCGTATTCCTTCTTGGTGTTCTTATCTTAGAGGTTGAGTTTGATCACGTTCTTCTCGTGAGTTTGGCCACGTTCTCCTAGTGAGTTTAATCACGTTTTCTTCGTTGTGATCGTGAGATTGACATGGAACTCGTGATAAGCCATGTTCTTAAATAAGTTAATTTGTTAGTCCAGGAAGAGTAAATCTCCCTGGTAATAGGTCGTGTTCGACACCTTTGTCTTCCCAGAGGTAATTTAAGGGTAAACATGTGATACCCCTCATGTTTCGCGACCAAAAGCAATTTGGGTGCGGTACTTGTGAGCGCCTTTCTTCTTTAACTCTTGTGACCAAGATGTTGTTATGTAACAATCTTTAAAGGTGATTTTCTCTCAAGATACCCTTTCAGGTATAAATAATACTCTGAACCAAGGTTATTTGTAATTTTTATATTGTCGATCTCGTTTCTGTTCTGGCCGATCTCAACCGTAAAGATATGAAAATTAAGGTAGAAATTTATTTTGTAACTGCTTAAACAACCCTAAGGTGCATACTCAGTGTGTGGGAATTCGTAGTCAAGCGTGATTCGCTAGTTAAGATGGTACGATGACGACACAAGAAGATTGACGGCTTAGAAATGTCATCCGCAGTGTCACCTTTATAAGCGGAGACTCTAGTTTTCCCTGTCATATTGGAGTTTCCTGATGAGGTACTGACTTGGTTCTGGTGGGGTAAGTCGTGTCTGAACTCCCTTTATTTAAGCTGAAGGCAGTATTCCTGGGCACTTTAAATCCCTATATGCTGTATTTGCCTGAGTTCATCGAGCCCTCCCTCAAACCGTCAGACCTCTACGACAGGCTTGTGGGTTTTCTACCATAGTATTACTTACTGATAATTTAACGTTCTCTTTTAACTCAGAAAGTAAGCATAGAATGTTTCTTAATGCAGGCAAAAGCTTTCCATTTTGGCTTCAGCTGCATCGAAGAGACAGTGACTGTGGTGCTTGAAACCACAATATTTACCTTGGCAAGGGTTCTTTCACTATTTGGTTATCTCAGTGTCTGTTATAACGCAAACCCTTGGATGGCTTAGAATTCAACCCAGGCGAATTTTGTTGAGGCGTGTCTGTCTGTTTTAGATATTTCTTAGCGAGAAGGATTTTAATCAATAAACCCAGTGGTATAGCTAGAGATAAAATTGATATTTAAGAGCTAATGTCAGCATGCATCAAACAAACAGCGATAAGTCACCCAAATTGGTTTTCCCCCCTACTTTTATATTTTGTAGTGACTTATGCCAATTAACGGTGGCGACAAGCAAGCGCACCATGTACATTTCATAGTCGCTATCAAGTAAATTTACCGGACTTTGAGTTCGTCTCAAGAAAGAACAACACAAATACACAAGGAAATTTTTACAGTAACTTTATAACCAACCTTTGGTCTTTTAAAAGCTTGAAGCTCAGTAGAAACCCTTGAATGGCTTAGAATTCAACCCAGGCGAATTTTGTTGAGGCGTGTCTGTCTGTTTTAGATATTTCTTCGCGAGAAGGATTTTAATCAATAAACCCAGTGGTATAGCTAGAGATAAAATTGATATTTAAGAGCTAATGTCAGCATGCATTAAACAAACAGCGGCAAGTCACCCAAATTGGTTTTCCCTCCTACTTTTATTTTTTGTAATGACTTATGCCAATTAACGGTGGCGACAAGTAGGCGCACCATGTACATTTCATAGTCGCTATCAAGTAAATTTTACCGGACTTTGAGTTCGTCTCAAGAAAGAACAAAACAAATACACAAGGAAATTTTTACAGTAACTTTATAACCATCCTTTGGTGTTTTAAAAGCTTGAAGCTCAGTAGATTGTGTCATATCAGTCATTGTTAAAACTGTCTTTGTTTTGATGTAATATTCACGGTGAAAATTTGCATATTTGAGCGGTCGAACGAAAAAAGTCATTTCTCGAAAACTAAAATATATTTTCGCAAAAAAACCACACCACAATTATTAGAACATATTGGGCTACAAAATATGAAAGTAGGAGAGAAAACGAATTTTGGGCGACTTGCTACAATATTTCAAATTTGTTCGATGGATGCTGACATCCTCTCTTAATAACATCTCCATTTATTGACTTACATGTTTCATTCCAGGTTGATTTAAACTGCACTCTAATACAATTTATTTTTTATTAATTCATTCTACCCTTAATGCAATCTAATACAATTTCTTTTTTATTAATTCATTCTACCCTTAGAATTTCAATGAATCAGCTCCTAAACTGTCATGCCACAATACGATGGAAATGAAGTCTGATGAGCCTTTTTCATGCTGAGGACCGTTCATTTAATCTGTATGCAAAATTTGTTATTAATTCTGGGCCCAGTTGTTCGAAGGTTGATTAGTGCTAACCCAAGGTTGAATTTTAATCTGGATTGAAGTCCAGGGTGATTTTCTGAGGTTTACTCATTTTTACGCTACCAGGACTGAGTACACTAAACCCTCCAGCGAATTACGTCCCGCGCTAAAGGCTGCTAGGTTCTCTACCACAAAAGTAACGAGGGATAACTCTGGTAACAATAGGAATGTCTCTCGGTAAAGAAGATGCACTTCCGATTTGGCACGAGTTGCAAGAAAGAAAAACAGTGACTGTGGTGTGTGAAACTGCTATATTTGCTTTGGTAATGGTTCTTTCTCTAGTTGGGAATCTCATGGTCTGCTATGCCGTACGAAGACAGCCAAGACTTCGTCGCCCAAACAACTATTTCATTATTTCTTTGGCCTTGACTGATATTTCGCAAGCTTTGTTTACAATGCCGCTGTCAGTTGTCTTGTTGGCCACTGGAAAATGGCCTTTCGGAACTTTTCTTAGTCGTTTTGCAGCAATTTCCATGATATCACTGACGTACATCTCGACGTTTACCATGGCACTGATGGCCTTAAACAGGTATTACAAGATAGTGAAACCAGCGAAATACCAAACTCTTTTTACAAAGAAGTTCATCATCTCATCAGCTTCGGCGGTGTGGGCCGTAGTCATTGTTAATGCTGTTGTTTCTATATTTGCACTCGGTTTTCCCTCCTACGTGAACCCAGCTTTTGCAGTTCCTGTGATATGGTTTCCAATGCCAATATCACGACCGATCTTAGTATTTAACTCGTATTTGCCGTATCCTGTTATCGTTTTCTGTTACTGGAAAATACACAAGGCCGTCAAGATGCACAATGCAAATGTTTCGTGGCAGAGTGCAAATGTAGAAGATGTACGAGTCAGCAAAGTCCTTTTTGTCACCGTTGCCGCCTTTCTCAGCCTGTGGTTGCCGGCTCAAACTCTGACTGTTGTTTCTTTTCGTGTAACGATACCACGCCAGCTCGCACTTTTCGCGACTCTTCTGATTTTCTCATCCAGCTTCATAAATCCTTTCATATATGGTTTTATGAACAGCACGTTTAGGGATGAATTAAAAAAATGCTTTGTCCTGAGGAAGAAGCAGTCAGTAGGTACAGAATCCTGTCAGAGAGAAGCAGCTCCAGTTTAAAGTGCGCTTTAAAGATAGTTCCAGTTTTAAATCACGCCATAAAACTGATACCTCACTTTTGTAAAATATGAGGAGTCCGTAGCTCGCATAAGCCTCTTAGTTTCCCTACGGGTTTGTTAAAAGACAAAATTGGCATCTAGCAAGAATTTTCATTATGGGTGATTTTTGACTTATTTGAACGTGAAAATAAATGGAAATAATATACTAGCATAAGCTATTCAGTGAACATTGTAATAGGCCAGTTGATCATTTCTTATTCCTTTTGGCGGTCTTATCTTACAGGTAGAGTTTGGTCACCTTTTTCCTTATCATGATCATGAATTTGACATGGAGACAGAAAAACCTAAACTGCGGTTTGCCGCTAGATATCAGTATATTTCCAATATGTTGCTAAAAGATGATTAATTACTAAGAGAATGACTCTACCTCATAAAAATTGATCCCGTGCAGGAATTTCCTGGCAATAACCCTCCTTTATACTTTTACCTCCTTAATACTCTCGTTTTTAGGCTAAATCCATGTTGAATTCCCGATCAGGAAAATAGTTTTTAATTTTAATTTAGCACGTCCGACACCTCTTTTTCTTAGAGGTGACTTAGAGTGCAAGCATGTAGTACTTTTCATCTTCCGCACTGAATTTGTAATCTGATAACTTAAACGACTAGCACGTAGCTCTTTTAGGGGCGGTACCTTGGGTACGCCCTTTCTTTTCCGAATTTTGTGTTTATTCTGCTGTTATGCAACAGCCTTCAAGGACTATTTCCTCATAAGATATCTTTTCAAGTATGATTTTAATTCTGTTAGTAAGTTTATTATAATTTTTATACTGTCAATCTTGTTTTTATTTTGCCCGAACTTGACAGTAAGACCAAGAAATTTAAGTTAGAAAGACATTTCGTGAAGCATAAACATCGCGAAGTTATCTACTTAGTGTGTGAACTCCGCGTAGCTTAGTGTGATTCGCTTGTTAAGCATAAAAGCATGACGAAGGGTAGAGATTGACAGCTCAGAAAGTGTCACCTTTATAAGCGGTGACCCACACTTTCCTAGAGAGATCAGAGCTAGTCCCCGTTGTAATAACCTGAGTAGTAAGAGTGAGTAAAGAAAAGGACAGCAAAGTAACTAGTGTTGGGAAATTACCTCTAACAGGTTTCCTAAACTCATGATAAATCTTAGCTGTAACATATTAATATATTTGTGATTCCTTTCTTATTTCTACTGATGTATCATAAGTACAAAATGGCAAAATAAACAAAAAACAAAAACAAAAAGTACACTTTCGTATTAACTTGAAATATCTCAGATAATGTTGAAACTGTTATTGATGGCAGCATCCAAGAAGTCGGACCTCGGCGTGTCAATACTCACGAATTTATTTTAAAATTCCTTTCCTCGTACTTACTGCTAATTATAACGACCGTTGTTCAACTGTTTTTCCTTAGGGACTTAGTTCAAATTTGTAGTATATTTCTGTGATGGGTGGTACTACTGGTGTTTACTTCGAGCCTTTCGAAAGGTCTGAATCAAATCGGTAAGGTACAGCTGAACTGACTAATGGCACCTGACCCTCTCCGCAGTATTTTCTTTAAGGGCCGTTAGATGCATCTCAACGACAAAAGTCCTTTTATGTACGAAATTTAAAGGCTTTCTTTTGGCTAGTAAGTTGATCAAAACGCGAATCAATTTTGTTGCTTAGAGATAACCCTTAACGTATAAAAATCAGATGATGACTGAGCCAATGTGGAACTATATGAATTATTACAAATCTATCGACACCATGATGTCTTGGATAAATATATATATAAGGCTGATGTAAGTACTAGACTTTTTCAAAAAGGGATGTGGATGTATTTACCGTAATTGTCATTAACTGAGTACATGTATTTGAAATTTTTAGAGAGAGAACTCTCCCTGGTAAGAAGTGACTCGTGCGTCCACATCTCGGTTTTATGAAACGATTTACCGTAAGACACAAGTATATCTCTAGTTAATATCCTCTGCGAGCTCTTTTGTGAACAGAGTTATCGAAAACAGCTTACGCTTTCGTGCAAAATCGAGAAAAAACCTAATTTCGGGAAATAACTTTAAAGGCCATTGTATTCAACGAAAAAGACGGTAAAACACAAAAATAAAAGAGCTCTATGACGTCTTTTGGAACAACAACACAAGAGGGTTCACTATTTTAACAACTTTTTAATTCAAGTTTGTCTCACCCAAAGAATTGAAAAGAGTTTTATATATTTATTTTAACTTTGGAGTTGGTTTCTTAGCTTTTAAAGTCTGCTGTACGTGTTGTCATCGCGGGATGATAGATCGAAATACCGGCAAATTTGACTAAAAGGAGTTTGATCTCACGAATTAGCGACTCACGTTCTTGAAAACGTCAAGAAAGAGTAATTTTATATTTTCAAGAAAAACCACGAAGTTTTGCTTAAAACAATAAAATCAATATTTGATAAGTTTCAATTGATCTTACTGAGATGTGCCAATCTAAATTTATATTAATTGCACAATTTCTTCAATACCAAATCATTTCCCGTTACGCTATTGAATTCATCGAACCAGCTCTCCCAATTAAAAGGCCACCATATGATTATTTGGTTGAATAGAATTCTAATGAGATACTAATTTGATTTTGGAGCCCTTTCATTTGATTGGTGTCTTTTGGCTTCCGTTCATTTTAGCTCCGTCCATTTGTCAGTATATCTGAGCACATATATTTCTACATATGCTTCACTGAACTCAGTTCACCAATCTTCCCACGAACCTGAAAATATCTTTCAAAAGGCTGTTACCGAAAAAAAAAACAACAAATTACTGTACTGTCTCTGATTACAAAAAGAAAACAAAGAGAGTAGAATGAATCACAGTACAGTTTGGCAACAGATGCAAGAAAGAAACACAGCGACTGTTGTGTTTGAGACTGTCATATTTACCCTTACAATGATTCTTTCTCTATTTGGGAATCTTATGGTGTGCTATGCCGTACGAAGAAACCCAAGGCTTCGTACCTCAAGCAACTACTACATCATTTCCTTGGCCCTAACAGATATTTCAATAGCTTTGTTTACAATGCCGCTGTCAGTTGTGTTGTTGGCTACTGGAAAATGGCCTTTTGGAACTTTTCTGAGTCGTTTTGCAACCATTTCCACGTTATCATTGACGAACATCTCGACATCCACCATGGCACTGATGGCCTTAAACAGGTATTACAAGATAGTGAAGCCAGCAAAATACCAAACTATTTTTACGAAGAAGTTTATCATCTCCACAGCATTAGGTGTGTGGGCTGCATTCGTTTCTCTTGCTCTTCTCTCTGTGCTCGCATTTGGTTTGATAAATGGCATGATTCCAGCTTTTGAAGTTCCTGGGACAACATTTTCAATGCCAGTTGCTAAACTAACTGCGGTTGTTATTTTCTATTCGCCGTATGCTGTCATCATTTTCTGTTACTGGAAGGTTTACAAGACTGTGAAGATACACAATGCAAATGTTTCGTGGCAGAGTGCAAATGTACAAGATGTTCGAGTCTACAAAATTCTGCTTGTTACTGTTGTCGGCTTTCTCAGCCTCTGGTTGCCGTCTCAAACTATCTTTCTTATGTCTTCTTATATAGCGTTACCACGCCAGCTTAAACTTTTTGCGACTTTTCTTATTTACTCATCCAGTTTCATAAATCCGTTCATTTATGGTTTTATGAACCGTTCATTCAGAAATGAATTCAAAAACTTCTTGATTCTGAAAAAGAAGCACTCGATAGGCTCGGAAGCAAGTCCTGCGAAACCAGAAAACATTGTTCAGATCATTAATTAGCGCTATCTGATGATTCGAGACTTACTCTTGGAATGACTACATGTCACAATTGATTTTAATAACATTCGAAATTTTGCTGCCGTTCTTGCTACTAACTTCCCTTGAGGAGTATGTTCAAATTGAAAGTATGATTCTTTGCTTGTTTCAACGGTGATTATGCGTACCTTTGAAAAAGATTAAATCGAATGTGGTACAGATCCTACGAAAAGCTTAACACTCCGTCGTATCCCCTTCAAGACTGCTAGAATTATATCTAGTTGCCTCAGTATGTTTCCGAACTGTAGTTTAAACCTGTTTACAAAGGTATCTACTCGATCAATTGACTGAACTTCGCATGAAGAAGGGCGCTTAGAGATGAATTACTGTAATCTCCCTTTTATCTAATAAATTTCTATCTCTTGGTCATGTTTTCACTTATTTGTGTGTCCGCTGGAACGATTACTTTGACTCCATTCCAGAGTGTTGTAGTTTTAAAATATAACTGATGCCCTTTTACTTATCAAAGCCTATATTAAATTTGATGTTTAAAAGAAATACTTCGAGTGTAAATATTTTGTAATGACTAAAGCAAAGTGGGACTCCATGAATCATGGCGTATCCATGAGCAGAATTATATACATAAAGGCCTCAATACATTTAATAATTTCCATTGCTTAAATATAAATAGATGCAGCCCCCATTGATATATATTTTTCCTAGATAGGTGAGAATCTCGTTTCAACATTTTCTTTTACTGAGAGATTTTAATGGAGCACAAGAAAGTTTCAAGACATGTCCTTAGGGAATGTTACGTAAGATTTATATCATGCCAGTTGCTAATTCATGTTACGTAATACGGCATGAGAACAGACCTGTTTTAAAACAGCCAACCCGTTCTCAGTAGCCTCGGTGCAACACCAAATCACAAACATACTCAAAGGTGATGCTTTCTTACAAAGATCAATAATTAAAAATTAAAGTAAGAAAATAAATATAAAGTTTTATCACGAGAGGTGTAAGCAAAGCTATTGTTTGAGAAATGGCTTTACTTTTTGTGGTTTATTTAAGATTGGAATTAACAAAAGCGCAAGTGGAATTACTATTTTAATTACTTTTTCAATTTTGTGTCATATTGGTTAGTTCAAAGGAGTATGTTTTTTTTTTATATGTACCCTTAATAATTGAGTTCTACGATATAGATGAATTATTTAAGTGTTGTCGTCACAGTTAGTCAGATCAAAATACAATGTTGAAAGAGGGAACTCTATCCTGAGCGACCCTCAATACTGAAAACGCTGAAAAAGAAGAATAATTTAACCTCCTAAATGTTTACATGTGTTTCATATGGTGCCGATTTCGCTTTAGGGGTTTTCTGTCAAAGTATAAAATGTACTTATTGTGATAATTTCACATGTAGAATTATTAATTAAAAACCTAACTGTGCAGCTTGAAAAACTAGAATTAGTTTTTAATTAATAATATGGTATTCCTTTTGATTTTCTTTAATAAACAGTTCCATGTAAACTGTTTCTAAAATACAATTTATTTATGAGGAATATTGCCATGTATAGAATTTCGAAAATGAACCAGCTCCTGCTATCACAAAGTGATTTGTTGGTGGCCCGGAATCACCGTCATTCAGATGAGTAACTCGCCTCCTTTCGCTTTTTGTTAGTCTTTAATTTATTATATCGGCATACAAAACCGTTCATTTCAGGCCGTTTATTTAAACCTTCAAAGTGAAATTTTCCTTCGCCCTCCTATTCCCAGCCAGTTTTCCCACAAAATTTACCTTTTTTACCAGGAGCCGTCCTTAATGTTAAGGGCTTTCAGCAGTCACGCTATAAAAGACCTACACTTGCTTGTCCGTTTTCTGGTCTTGAAGGAAATTCCATATAATGTCTCACAAACAAAGCGACATTCTTGAGCTTTGGAGCGAGTTAAGGGAAAGAAACACAGTGACTGTGGTTTTTGAAACCTTCCTATTTACCTTGGCGATGATTCTTTCTTTAATTGGGAATCTCATGGTCTGCTATGCCGTACGCAGAAACCCAGGACTTTGTCGGCGTCCAAGCAACTACTACATCATTTCTTTGGCCCTGACTGACATTTCGCTTGCTTTATCTACAATGCCGTGGTCAGTTATCCTGCTGGCTACTGGAAAATGGCCTTTTGGAACGTTTCTCACATATTTCGCAACCATTTCCAAGTTATCACTGACCAACATCTCAGTATGGACCATGGTATTGATGGCTTTGAACAGGTACTACAAAATTGTAAAGCCAACGAAATACCAATGTGTTTTCACAAAGAAGTTCATAGTTTCCTCAGCCTTAGCGGTGTGGGCTACATTCATTGTTATCTCTCTCCTCTTTATTGTCACGTTTCGTTTTTCCAACCATGTGTGCCCGGCTTTTGCACTGCCTTTGACAACTTATGAAATGCCAATTTCTCTACCAACTTTGATATTTGTTACGTTTTTGCCTTATCCTATCGTTATTTTCTGGTATTGGAAAGTTTACCGGGCCGTCAAAATGCACAACGTAAATATTTCATGGCAGAATGCAAATGTAGAGGATGTTCGAGTCGCGAAAATCCTGTTTATTACCGTCGTCGGTTTTGTCAGCCTCTGATTGCCGGCTCAAATCATCTACCTGGTCTCCTATGATAGGAGGCTACCACGTCAGCTCACATTTCTCGCGACTCTTTTTATTTTCTCGTCTAGTTTCATAAATCCTTTCATCTATGGTTTTATGAACCGTTCATTCAGAAATGAATTCAAAAAGTGCTTGATCCTGAAAACGAAGCAGTCAGTGGACGTGGAACTCAATCACAGAAAACCCGGTCCAGTGTAACAGACGAGTCCTCCTTGAGTTGATGAAATTTAACAAGAAAATATCGCTAAGATTTATTTGTACCATCCAAGATTTGGTATCTTATTGTGGAATTACAGAGTAACTAACACAAAATTTCCTTCTCCTAATTTCTAAAATTCATAATACAAAACTCCTACCTAAGGAGTACGTTAAAATTCAAAGTACGTTTCCTTAGGGTCTGAAAGCGGTAACATGTCTCTTAATCTTTTTTGGTTGGTATTTGATGCTCTCTTTGTCGTATTTACTTACGGAGGCTACCAAAAATTGTATCTGGCTGCATATTTTGGAGTGGGCCCATGTTTGGTCCAAGTCTAAACCCCCTTACAAAGGGAAACCCTCGGGCGTAATTGAGTGGTCCGTGGAGAAATTAAAAGTGACCGCGTTTAAAGACAAATTATTGCATCTTTGCAAAACATTTCATGGACTATAATTTTTTGGTCATGTTTTGTTCTTATGTCTGCCGTTGCCGCGTTCGCTTTTCCTTCTTTGAATAAACAAAAGTTTAAAGTATATTTTTGACTTAGAGTGAGTCAGTTTTAATACCTAAACCAGTATTCAAGGAGAAAGCCTTTTGTGATGACTAAGGCAGCGTAGGATTCTTAGATTCATGGTATAGCTAAAATCTAAAAAATTAAAATCTGTAAGGGAGGATTATCAGTCTGATAAAAGCAACATTTAGTATTTACAGGAACAAGGGCGTATATCTGTGCGTTGTAACTTTCACTGATTAGGAAACTGTGTTTAAGCTTCCAACAGTGTGTTTTATATCTTGGCAAGGAGAAAATAATATATTAAATTAACCCATATTAAGGAAGTTGAGAAGGAAATTCGCTAAGACAAAATAAGTTTAACTCAAAACAGAGACTTGCGGGAAACTTCTATATAAGATTTAAAAATATATTACTTCCAGGTATTAATTAAGGTGTTTTCCTTATTTCCTGTTAGGAACAATACCACATACAAAATTTCCATTTAAATTACTGCGTAGATATAAATTAATGTTTGGTAGAGCTGTATGTGTATTCATGTAAGAAAAAAAAAATTGACAGCGTTAAGACGTGATGAGTTCTAATGTACACCCACTCTAAGTGTAGGTCTGTTTATTACATCGTAGAGGAAACAATTCATCAGCTTAAAAGGTAACACTGACTGCAATTTTCAAAGAGAACAATGAGTGACGATGACTCTATTTGCATTGTTCTCAAAGGATAAAGTAAGATAGCAATATAGCAAGAGAGCTGATAACAACACGCTTTTAGGTTCTAAGCTGATGTGGAGGATGTTTATTTATTGATGACACTATTAATATTGACCTAAGTTTTGGGGCAGATGTTTCGTGCAACTCTGACTTTCGTTAAATTAATGCGCTTATCAAAACGTTATTTAATTCCTTACAGTCGAAGCAAACAGCTCGGGTGAAATACTTGAAATCGAATCGCACTTCCCACGAAGACGTTTTGAAGGCGCGAATTGATTCATACCAATCACTCGTCAAAGCTGAAAAGTCTGTTTCCGACGCTCACCAGAGTTTCAACCACCCGCAAGAAAAAGATAAGCGAAAGGAAGGAGCTAGACAAGTGAACATGGAGCATAGGAACACAGCAACCGTGCTATTTGAGACTGGGTTAGTTACTTTGGTGATGGTTCTTTCCTTTCTCGGAAATCTCATGGTTTGCCATGCTATACGCAGAAACCCAAGACTTCGTTGTCCGAGCAACTACTACCTCATTTCCTTGGCGCTGACCGACATTTTCCAAGCTGTGCTGGTAATGCCGCTATCTGTTTTCCTAGTAGCTATGGGAAGGTGGCCATTTGGAACCCCAATGTGCTACGTCTCTGCGATTACAAAGTTGTCTTTGTCGAAAACCTCACTATTGACGATGGCGCTGATGGCGTTGAACAGATATTACAAGATAGTGAGACCAGCGAGCTACCAAAGTATTTTTACAAAGAGGTTTATTGTTATAACTGCATCAGCAGCGTGGGTAACGATGGTTTTGATGTCTCTCATCTTCGCCTTTGCTTCCGATTCCCGCCCTCAGGACGACTTGAGTTTCGCAGTTTGTACAATAGATTTTGAGCAGTTTGTACCTGTTGTGCTAATTATAATGTACTTGCCCTATTTTGTTATCGGGTTTTGTTACTGGAACATTTACCGCGTCGTGAGGATGCATAATGCCAATATTTCGTGGCAAAGTGCCAATGTCGAGCATGTTAAAATTACCAAAACACTTCTCGTAACTGTTGTTGGTTTCGCCATTCTTTGGGTGCCTGCTCATGCTGTATTTGTAGCGTTTCTTTTCAAATTATACGTGCCTCATCAGCTTAGATTTATGGTCACCTTTTTTATCTTTACATCTAGTTGCGTAAATCCTTTCATTTATGGTTTCATGAATCGGGCATTTAGACACGAATTCAAGAAAATCTTGACAACAAGAAATAGTCATTCGATTGCCTCAGATTCTGGTTCAGCTCAAAATTAAGCTCACCGGTCATTTTCTCTAAAAAGAATAAGATTAATTGAAATTTGAAAAAAAAACCGGCTTAAGTGTGTTAAGATGCCCCAGGAATTGGCGGCTTTTGATGTGTTGCGGATAAATACGTAATACAAAAATGGCTATCAATTGATATTAGGAAACTTTATGAATAGTGGCAAAATATTTACCTAGAATGTACATACAGGTGAAAGTCTCTCGCTAGTTTCGAAGGAAATTATTTAAGGTGATTTCGGTGATCATGTTTACGTTTATTTAAAAGGTGCGTGAGAGTATATGCGCCATCAGATTTTCAGAAACTTTGTAAATTATCGATAAAATTTCTTCAAAAACAGGCGGTCAAGTCAATTCATAATGGTTCGTTTAAAATTATATCGATTGTCTTCTAAAGAAAATATTTAGACTGACTGTAAAAGCAAAGTTTCCGCGGATATTTCTAATGAAATCTTCGATTGTTGAAGTCACACAAAACTTGTGATTCCGACAGAGATTTGGAGCAAAATATTAACCATGATACGCTCTCTTCAAATTCTTCCCCCTCTTGCTTCCCTCCTCCAACAAGTGGGGATGGTCCTTATAAAATTTCGCAATTAATCGCTCGCATAATGATAATAATACGGGGAAAAAAACATCTAAAGGCAAAGTTTTATGAAAACCTCAGGATAGGTTGCAGTGAGGAGGATCAAAAAATAGTTAGAAAGAAAACTATGGAAACACATCCTTATCTTAAGGAAAAATCAACAAATACTGTACGAGTCAATTTCTAAAAAATAAAGCCATTATATGTGTTATTTTGCTTTATGACATGTAAATATACCAGAAATCGTCTACCGAATTTTAATTATTTCCTTTCTGTGTATGGAGCGTGAGAATCATATTTGAATATTATACAATCTTTTTTGGGTCGCTGCCACAAGCATCGCTTTTTTTCGTCTCCCGTTCCTACTAAGGACCTTTTATGTAGACAGGACTGCTAGATTTTAAAGGCTATTATCTCTGTAGATAATCATCCGCTAGGCTCGTATTTACCACCAACAAAGGAGAATAAATCAGTACAATCTACGTAAGAAACAGTGTCCCCCCCCCAGGTTAATACCAAACAATGTAAATAGATTGATTTTTAAACACAAGATGATATAGTTTCTACGTAGTATTTTGTCACCCATTTGTAGTTTAACTAGTTTAATTTTTAGGGTAAATTTTTATTGAGTGTACAGGCGACTATAATGTAAAAAAAGATATGTACTCTTATCTTTTGGCAATGAAGACTATTATCATTATCATATTATCATTATCAGGGTTAATCATAATATATAGCGTTATTTGCGCATAAGGGGGTCACTGTAAGACTATTCAGTAAGTCACTATAGCTGTAATTACACATTATACTAACCTAACTGTGCAGAAAGTTCCACTTTAAACCATGACAATTAGGTTGATTGAAATTGGGGAATATGAATAAACACGCTGTACCAAGATCGCATAAGTAGATGAATGTTGATTGTTAAGACAGTGACGTTATTAACTGCTATTCAAAAAATAATGCAGCAATTCAATTGGTTTTAACGCTGTAACAAGATCAAATAAGCAGACGAATATAGACATATGTTGATTGTTGAGACCGTGACCTGAATGTAAAATAAAAATATACAGATCATATTGAAAATAGTCTCTCTGATTCTTGATTTGCCCCTGAAGTTCCCAAACAGTCCAACCTGTATTATGAGGTCACCCAAGGGGAATGGCAGGATAAGCATATATATTAGGGCTTTTTTTTCCCTACTACTGCTAAGTGTTCCTGTGGAAGTTGAATTGCTTCCACATAACTTGCATGTCATTCTTTTTCAAAACATGTGACACACGCATTGCGCCTTTGCACCATTTTCTTTTGCTGCTGAACTCAACTAAAGATTTCCATGCGGGAATGACTGCCACCCTTTTTTTGCTATTGAATTATTTTTAAAATTTTAATTGGAATTTGTTGTTACCGTTAGCTGGTTCGTTTAATTTTTAAGTTATTAACTGCTATTTAAAAAAAATGCAGAAATTCAATCGGTTTTAACAGAGAAAGGGGAAAGTTGTGATGATGATATTATTTTTTAGAGTTCTGAAAAAATTCTGGATTTTTGTTTTAATTTACTTAGTTAAACAATTCTTAGTTTTTATCCATCAACATTGTACATAATTTTTACATTTTTCTAATGGTTCATCTGTTATAGTTATTTTTTCTTTAATTGCTAGTTTTAGTTGCCCAAGGCACCCTTTTATAACAGCTTCAAAAACTCATTAATAATTCATAAGCCCATTAACCTATCAAATGGTAGATAATACATCACGTGCAGTGACTTTATATCGATAAACCTCATCCTAATTAGTATGCAGTGTTTTATCAGATATAAAGACACTGCACGTGACTTAGGAATATTAATTAATTATCAACACAGAAACTGACACAATTGTCACATTGTCACTGCACGTGTTTACTTTGGGGTAGCATTCTCGATTAAATTCCTCTCTTCCTCGGCATTTTTAGGCTTCCGAAAAGCTCTGGAACGGGACGCCATGTCCTCTTCGGTTAGTAGAAGAAAAGTACAAAACACGTGTGAGATTTGATTTTCTTGCATGCTAATTTAATCCCTAATGTTTTTCTCGTATGATAATTTCTAACGTTCACAAAAGCATAATTGTTATGAACTCTCTTGACACACGCTTTTCCAATAATGTTTTTGAAGCCGTTCAAAAAACTCGCAGCACGTGTTTTATCGGGTCAAAAACCACTCGGCTACGCCTCGTGGTTTTAAACCCGATAGAACACTCCTGCTCGTTTTTTAAACATTACTTCAGCTGACGGGTTTACCCTGTGTAAGTATGTTATTATGTTATTAATATTATTATTATTATTATTATTATTGTTATTATTATTATTGTTATTATTATTGTTATTACTATTATTATCAATATTATTGTTATGTACATCTATTTTTTCTGTTTCAGCGCAGTTTTCGTCTTACTGAGGACCACAAAAGTCATTACTTTACCAAGTCAACGCAATCATTCAAGCACACTCATTCTATCTCAAATTGCATCAACAGCTAATTTTATCCCTGGTATATTGCCTGCCTCCGTTTATAAGAGTAGTGCCGATCTAATGGGCGACGAATTCTGCTACAAGATGGCGTAGTTTACAGGATTCCCTGTGAATGCAGCAAGGCGTACATCGGAGAGACTGGAAGACCTATGCAAGAAAGAATTAAGGAGCACGATCGAGACATCCGACTCGCCCGTACCGAGACCTCCGCCGTTTCAGAGCATGCCCACAACACCGGAAACAAGCCACTCTGGAACTAAGTAAAGTTTATTGATCGTGACCCTTATTACAACACGCGCAGGGTCAAAGAGGCAATTCATATAAGACTTCATTCTAACAACATCAACAGGGATAGTGGAATAGAAATTCCAGAAGCGTGGATGCCTACGACCAAAAAACACAACAACAGGAGAGCCGAGGGAGCAAATCACTGAGTGAAACAGCAAGGATCGAAATGCACTAATCAGAGCTGTTGAAAACCAACTAATCACAGCAGAGCAGCATGCTTTATAAGATTACGCATGATCAGTCGACCTTATCGCCTGAAGAAGACCAGCAGTATGCAGTCGAAACGTCGCGATCTACATCACACTACATCGTGAGACAAACGAAAAAATTTAGCTTTTATTGAATTCTACTACTTTTTTCTATTAAATGGAGTAGAGGGATCGTCCTCTCTTGATTGACGTGATCATGCGCACTTCTGACAAATCCCCTCTATAAAGATCAGTTTTAAAAAAACATGTTCTTGATAATGTTCTTGTGGTTATTACATGTAGAAACTAAGTTTTTTACAAACGTGAAACCGTCCTCTAAGATGCAAACAGTACAAGTATCATATGCCGTTTTCACATACCGTTTTAAAAAAACCTAAATCAGGCTTCTCATTTCACGGCTATTACAACAAATATACGTTCCATTAACAGTCAACCGGTAAAAGTTAAGGTTAATGTTGGGATAGGGGAGGGGTAGGTGCGAATTCGAAGTTACTCAGATACTGACATTGATCGATGCAGTCATCCAGCAAACATGGAAAATTCTACCTTGTCACCTTTCCTGCCATGGTGCTACCGTGACATGATCTATTGTTCACTTGGTAAATTATATAGCTACATAACACAACTAAAGATTCACAAAATATTTACATGCTGGTTCAAGCATTCCTCGTTAGATTTCAGAAGATAACGTACATCAAGTTTTCATGTAAAGCTGAACTCAGTATTCCCTCCTAAGCATTCCTATAGATTTTGTAAAAGTCATACATCTCTGCACATAATGAATTACAAAAAAATATATTTCACAGCTGTTGATATGCTTAGATGATATATAAATGAATGTGGGGCTAGAGTCTACCTTGGCATAAAGGGCTCAATGCTGTGGTAGCAAAGCTAAGTATACATAAGTTAAAGAATTAAAGAGGACGCATCGATTCTCTGTGACTCTGTGTTTCCCGCCTAAGCGCTCCTCAGACAGAACTTAATAGATGATATATATATTTTAGAGAAAAAAAAGGAGGAAGAACATGACATAGTTACTGATAGGATTCGAAAGACAAATGAAATAATAATTATAATGGTTTATTAACTTACATTGCGCAATTATCAGTGTAAAATTTTCAATTGCGCATTACAATGGTTAGGATTTTACAGATTATACTTAACTGTTAAAGCTTAAAACAAAAAAAAATTGATAAAAAAATTGGCTTGTTAAGAAATGTAGAAACATGAACTATATATACATTTCATTTCCATATGTTAGCATTAACATGATTACACAATCAAAACAACAGGCGATGAAGGCAATTAGATGATAAAATACTGTCAAAAGGTAATTGAAATAAACCCAATGGTGCCAATATCTCTATAAAACATTAAAGTTGTCTTTTCATTTTAACGCATTGTGCATAAAAATTTGCGCATTTTTACGCATTTTGTTGGGAACAACAAAAAAAGGCTCTGATGCCGAAAAATCCTTTGTAGATAGTTTATTTGTTTTTCCTCAAATCCATATTTATTATCTAATCACTTTACCACTGATAATTTTGCCACTGATTCTCAGCTGAATCGACCAAAAAAATGAAATGAACTAACGAATTTTGTCATCCAGTAAGCATTGCATGAAATATAATGAATACGCGATTGAGAACGTTTTCATATCTCGTGCCTAATGTCGGCCGGCAGATTCTGCGGCTATCGAGTTAGTATTTCGTGGCGCAAATATGTTTTTGAATTGGATTTTGAATGCGCGATTCATAAAGCCATAAATGAAAGGATTTACACAACTGGATGTGAACGCTAAAAGTGTCACAAGAATTTCAAGCTGACGGGGAATTGATGTTAAAATTGACATGATAAACATGGCGTGTGCAGGCACCCAAAGACTTGCGAATCCGACGACAGTAACAAACAAGGTTTTGCTGACGTTAATATGTTTCACATTGGCACTTTGCCATGATACGCTTTCATTGTGCATCCTCACAAATCGGTAAATTTTCCAGTAGCAAAACCCAATGACGCAATAAGGGGAGTAGGTTTGGAATATGTAGACAGGCAGAGCTAAGGGATTTAAATCGATGACGCAGGTGGCGAAGCCTAGGATTGGTCTCACACCGAAATTGACGGCAAAGACTACAAGGAGAAAGAACACAAAGGGTTCCAACCATACTACCAATGCTGAGGCAATGATGAATTTCTTGGTGAAAATACTTGGAAATTTGGCTGGCTTCGCTATCTTGTAATATTTATTCAACGCCATCAGACCCATGGTAAACGTTGAGACTTTTGCCAGGGATATCTTTGTGATGGCTACGAAATGACACAGATGCGATCCAAAAGGCCATTTCCCAGTAGCTAGAAAAACAACAGATAACGGCATAATGAACAGAGCTTGGAAAATATCGGTTAGTGCCAGGGAAATGATGTAGTAGTTGCTCGGACTACGAAGACTTGGGCTTCTGCGCACAGCATAGCAGACCATAGAGTTTCCAAGAAGTGAAAGGACCATCACCAAGGCAAATATAGCTGTTTGAAGGACGACGGTTGGCGTGTTTCGTTCATCCACCTCCATTTTAAAAGTTCAAAAGCCCTCTCAGACTTTTTACTCGGTTGGGTTGTTCTTAAACGGCTACCCTCTGATCATGTGTAACGTTTCGTTTGCTGCTCTTGCCAATGTGAAACGAAGCTAACGTAAGCTGTGGTAGATAGCTAATGAAGCACCGCTTATCTACTGCGGATAATAGATAGGTTGTTGACTTTTCGAGAAATCCATTAATCTGGGCATAATGAGATCGATCGAGATTGCCTCCTCATAAAAACTATGTCCTCCAACAAATAAAGAAAATTCCACCTCGTCACCTTTCCTTTTATGGTGTTACCGTGACAAGATTTATTGCTCACTTGGTAATTAAAGAAGATCAAATTTTGTCATTGTGCTGTTAAATTTATTCTTGGCACGGCTGCACAAACCGCAGCCTCCAATACATCACAGTAGAATACATAACTCAATCAAAAACAAATTTCGCTTACTCAATTCTACCTACTTATAATTGCAATAATTTTGTCATAAAAAACGCAAAAACAAAACGAAAAAAGCAGAAAGCTAAATAGGAACTTATTAGCGATTAAATGATAAGCTTAATCCCACATGCATCTAGTTGGTTCCTACTTATGACCTATGGGAGGACAGACGAAAAGATGAAGTCACTCGCAACAATATTTTGCTTTTTTATGACGTAAGACAAATAGATTCCATGAAGCCTTGGGGTAGTACATGAACTGAGGACGTCAGAGATCGCAAAAGATATTTTGTCAGTTCCATCTACAGTTTGATGTCATGTGTGATCCACCATTAAACTGGGGCAAGGGGTGACATGGAATCTATTTTTTTACATGGAATACCTTCTTACGATTTTATTAAGTCCTAATGATTTGCCTGATGTATTCCTGTTTAGTCTTTTTTTATTCCGCTTTTTTCGATCTTTCGCGTTGTTGGAATTAGGGAGATGAGATTTTAATGAAACTGTGGTGCTGTGTCACGGAGGGTAATACAAGATAATTTAGTTTATCAACTGAGTTGATTACATAAATTGGCCCGGCACCATATAGTGAGTTTCTAAAGCTAACGTTTCGAGAGTCAACCCTTGTCAGAGCGAAGAAATTCTTGTTGGATTTATTTTTATTCTAAACAAATATTAAAATACAAGAAAGGGTTTCAATATCGAGAAGGCCGGTAAATCTCGAGTGGTTCTTATGTTCAAATGTAGTTCAGCTTCCGGTTATGATAACTTGGCACCTTGAGAGTACTTATCGAGAGAGTGCCCTCTGGACAACAACAAACATTCTCTCAAAAGATTTTCATTTTCAAGAAATTTTTAATCTGTGAAAACAGCACATACACTATAAAATTGTTTTGTTTCTGCTTTTATTCAGTTTTTCAGTCATAGTCATCGTCTTCTTCTAAGTCAGCTTTTCTTGGCAAGATAATCATGACATAATTTCTGTTGCGAGCTAAAACATCGAGGATGATATTAAAAGTTATGAATTTAAAAAGTAATAAATGTATGTAAAAATCTAGACCCATAGTCTAACTTGTACTTAAAAATTGGAAGATTTATCGAATTATCTTCGAAATGGTCTGAGTTAACATGTAGGCAATGGGAATATTTTCTTTCAAACTTTTCTTCATGTTTAAGGTAATTTTTCGATAGCCATTGTAATACAGGCAAGTGCTTCAAACAATGGCTCACTAAGCAAAAATGCGTCACATTTCAACATACGTTCAAGTCCCAATTTTAATTTTCAGATGGCTAGTCGTTATCTTACGCCGATTTAAAAAGTGAAGACGGAACAGATTAACAAAAAGACCAAACTTTTTCTTTCCTGTCGTTCACTTTTTTGAAGCCAGACTTGCTCACTTTAAAATCGCTCTTAACCTCGAACCCGGAACATGTTCCCCTCTGAAAAGGCCGATTTGTTCCCAAGTTTTCGAACGCAGAAAGCTCGTGCAAAAACTTTAAAAAAAAAGCTTCAATCGTAAATGCTCGTTGCTCAAAAAAAAACATATAGTAGGACTTAGCATTGCAAGGAAATTGAGTTTTATCAATACCCTGCAGGGAAATTAGGGCATTTTCTTGGCTATTCAAAGTACATTTTCGACGTATATTCAAAGTACATTTTGCCGCGTCGGTGCTCATGAAAAAGTATTGTTCGGCCATTCTGCCCGATGGGAGATGAACTAAAATAGAGAATTTAAATCTAAATTTGCCACACTATTCATTTTTTTCTTTTCATCAGCGCTCTGGCATAAAAAGGGCCTTTAAGAATTAAAATTTATCCGAGGGGCTCAGACCCAGTCCTCTGTGCAACGTTTGCGCCAGGTCTCTCATTATTACGAGTTTAAATTGTGACGTACTGTCTCCCACGATTCTTTGCGCAAACCTACTCTAAAAGGCAACGATCGCGATTCATTTCAGATTTCCTATTTATCTCTCTAGGGAGGACCACGGTCTACATTGGGTAAATTGAAGGGGTTTTCAAATAAAATATTAGTTTTATTGTCAATCATATATAGGATTCGATGACTCAACCTTTTTAAAAAATCATTCATACGCTGTCCCTTTCTCTGAAGCCATAAAATATAATTGTATAGTCTCTCTGCGGTTATTCTGTTTGCAGCAGTGTTACCTTGGCAAGTTGTTCTTAATTTTACGGGTCGTTTCGTTTTTGTTTCCGAATGAAACAGATGTCAACTAAGATTAGTACCATGCAAACGACTTATTCCCTCAATTTTCTGGACTTGCTTACATGTCGAGTTCCTAGTGCAGCAAGTGAGCAAGCGGTGCGCCAAGGAGTTTACCAAAACCTGCTCGGAAAACGGCCGAGCATTACGAAACTCTCAGGACATTGAAATAAACCCTTATCGAGCTCGGTTTCCCAGGTACACATATTGATGCGACATCGCCAAGGAATCGAAGGAATGACTTAACATGAACGACAGACTCAAACTGACGCATCACTATCATCCAACGACACTTAAGTCTTTCAGTTGATTACATAATGGAAAATCTAACCAACCAGTTTTCACGAACATGCGACCGACAAAAAACTCCTCATATGACTCTGATGACGACATCCTCTCAGGTTTTCGAAACCACAGTTACCAACAGCATTTTTCCGGACTATCCTACCTTGGCCCGAACAATCACATGACTGGATCGTATTCAGTAACAAACTTAGAATATCGCTGCTCTTACTTTTTTCTAGTCCCAGTTATCACGTGATTGATTTTTATTCAATATAGCATGGAGAAATACTTGAGTAAAGGCTACTAAATATTTATCGCCGTGGGGCCGTGGGGAGAATGGAGGATTTTGCAGGGGTCACATTGCTTCAAGGCGGAACGGAGGAGAAATTGATCGTCGCCAACAGACTACGAAAGGAGAAGGCTATATTAGACTGACTGCTAATTAACTACCAATAAGGGGGTCATGGGGATACTACAGACTCCTATGGGAGGATCAGGTTAAAATTTTATCGTGACATAACCAAAATCCTTCGCCCCCTGCCCCTCCCCCCTTTCCCCTGGGTGATAGATAACGACTTGTTCCCAGGGCCTACCCAGTCGGTTTCATGTGTCATGCACATGAAAGAAACTTATAAGAAAAATAGGAAGTTACCAGTTCAAACCAGATAGATACGGTAAATGCAAAAAAAAAAAACTCGTTATTCCCAATTTTGTTCGCTTGTTTGGCAATTTTTACTAATTCTCGATATAGTATTTACAATTTAAGTTTTTATTTTTCTTTACTTTTTCATTTTAACAGCTTGTGGAAATATTGCATTTGTTTAAACAAGAATTAAAAATCAATAAACTTATTGTAGTATTTGACAGATAAATTTACTTTGTTTTTTATCTTTTCATTACCTTGGACATGAAAACGAAAGACGTCTCTATTTTCATTTTTAATCTCCTTCTCAAACATTTGCATGCAGTAAAGTTTTAAAGCTAAATGTTTTTAAAATTTACATTACAAAATCACTTTGGTAAAGCCTGAACTGCGCGTAAAAACAATTTGGAAGTGGCAAAAAGTCGCCATTTAAATTCACATTTTATTCTTAGTGATAACGTTGCCATGCCTCTATTTTCCAGCCGCTCATTCTCAGTTTCAGCCGCGGTAAGGGCTAAAGGTTCTGAATGAGTCACTTTAACGGAAGAAGAGATCTCGATTGATCCAAATAATCACCGAGTTAAGTCTCCCTATTGCTCTGCTTTGAAAGACGTTCACTTCCTGTATCAATAAATTCAAAGAGGTGTGCCTTAAGGGTCAGTTCGATTTTTGAAGAAATCACTTAAGCTCGCATTCAAGAGAAACACAAATGACGGTTTGTCGTAAAAGGGAACTTGTGGATTACCACCGTCGTGTGCATGGATCATTTGATAAGCGCGCAGTCAAGAGCCATATTTTTACTAAGTACAGACACAAAGAAAATTAATTTCTTTCAAGCGTATTTGCGTTATATTTATCTTATCCAAGCCGCATGGTCTCGTTTTATTTTTAGAAAAATAAAACAATAAAACGATTAAATTAAACCTGAGTCTAAAGCCGATCGCCCTGTTCCTTTGTAACTCTTTAGTATACATTTTCCTTCTACAGGAGTTATATTTTCTGGTAGAAGAGGAAAATATCTTTATTTTTAAGGACTTTTTTCTTACGCATAGATCGCATATGCAAAATTCATACCCTTCGAATAAGCAAAGCGCCTTGTGGAATAATAAAAAAGATAATCATCCTTAACGTAAAACTTCTAATTTATGAAATTCATTATCATAGACGGTTTTTTTTTTTTGCGCGGTTTGTTTTTAATTTTTTTTGTGCAGAATCTTTGAGTTCAATTGCCGTTAAATGCCAGGACCAGCCTCTGACTCAGAAATGTTAGGTGACCTCAAGGTTAGCGAGCAGACGCATATTTCTTCACTATTTTCGATATCTGATCGACTCCTGAGTGGAATTCGTTTGTCTTGAATTGAAGTACAAAGCCACCATTTTAAAACGGAAAGGCAGGTGTTCC